GACTAGTACTGGTAAAACACTTGAACTCAGACAGATCACTAATCCAGTTAGTTTAGCACCTTTCCTGACATAAAACAGTCTCTTTCATGCATTGGTTCTACTACCATAATAAAGAGGAACAACACTGTGGACTGCATAATAAATCATGGAGTATTTATTGCACATTATGGGACATTACTAAATAACTTTCAACATTATGTGCAGTTCATTTTTTATTGGCCAGATCTGGTCGGCACTGGATGGTTTAGCTACAGAACTGTAGTATTCTTGTAGCACAAGCAAACATGGCTAGTAATTATTGTAGTAGGTTCAATCCTAAGATCTCAGTGCTAGAACCCAGATTGAAGACAATTACCTTCATTCAGTCAAGATGAAGTTAGAGACATGCATCTCCATTTACAACTATCTTACCACAGTTTTACAGAAGTAGGTTTATGAATTACCATGGAGTGCCTAATACTTAGCAAGGTCAAGTAAGGTTTTGTCTGAAACTCAACCATGTGCTTCTGTATCATTAGCAGCATATACCATGTGATACCAAGTCCTTGGGAAAATTCTCATAAAAAAAAAAAAACATAAAGGTACTCAACTGGATGAAGTGGAACAGTTTTTGAAAAAGGGGAAAAAATCCACGTGTACACATAAAAAACGATAATTTGAGTGCCAATGGATAAATGCTTTCTGACGGAACAATGAAATGCATATGCATCCGAAAAAGCAGCTCAAATAAGTCCCGGTACTAGTACCACCTTAAAAAATAAGTTCCAGTACCACCAGACTTTCACTCCTGGAACTGACTGCTGCACTTACCTAAGTCATAGCCAGATGTAACTCAGGCTCTACTAGTTTAAAACAATAGGTGGTGCAGCAGCCACTGCTCATTGCTGAACTTCCCAAATTTTGTATAGTGTTGATCTTAAAGTTACTTACGTCCAATCATCTTCTCTGATAACAGGACATGGAAATCACCTCACCAAAAGTGGAGGAGGCACTTCTTCCTTTATGCCAATGGCACTTTTGGGAGTATAACTTTGACTTCATTGGTGAGACAGTCATGGCAACTGAGCTAGAGAATCATGCAGAATAATTGGGAACCAAATCTTCTGTAAAATGATGCATTGCAGCATCTTCTGCAGTGAAGTAACAGATTGATGCATTTTTGTGTTTTAGGGGTCTTTAAGTTTCTGTAGGCTGTTTCAAAGATGGATCTGCAGCCATAGTTACTATTGCTGCTGGTTTCCTCCCTGCTCCAGCATGCTGTATGATGTGACTATTTTTTAAAACAGGTCACCACTGAAATTACCATCATAACTCCACAGCTGATACCTTACAGTGTTGTGACATAGTCTAGCTAGTCTTCAGCAAATGTGCTAGGATATCCAGGCTCTTGACTAATATTCATGCCAGCAAATGCAGCCAGTGCCACTGCCTGGATATTATTCTGAAAGGAAGAATCCAATCATACACAATGAATTTGGGCTGTACAGCAAGATAGATCCTTCCACTTCAACTGCCTGTACAAGAAGTAAAGGGGAGCCAGCAGTTAGCTGTCTCTCAGGCCCCAGGAAACTAATGAGGCCCAATTTGAGTATGACCACTGACTTGGGAGAGCATAACAGCCAGTTTGTACTGAAGGGTTTGCGGTAAGCTCAGGTCTTTCAGAGCTGGATGATGCTTTGTACATGCCAGCTATTATGTTCTTGGTTGGCACAGGAGCTGCTAGGACCCTGGTTGATGCTGCCATGTATCAGATACTCTGAATAAAGCCATCACTCTGGCCAGTGACCATTCACTTTCTTCTAGAAAATGGTGACATACTAGATGTTAATGGAGAAGCACCTCTTTGACTACATGCATGCCATGTGAACCATAGGGTAAAGGTCATCATTGTAGACCTCAGTATTCGCATTGGTATCCTCAGGATGGATGTACTGCAGAAACTGCTAGCTTTGCCTGTGTAACATGTGAACAAGGTTTTGGAAGGAAATCAACAGAGTGACAATGACAACTGATACAGGGATACTAATGTGTATCTTGTGGAGGGAATAATAATACCTCTGTATATTTAAGTGGTGTACAAGTTTACTGCAGATGAGAGTGAATGCATAGACACTCTGTAACACAGCTGATGAAACACACTGTCTTCTATTTGTAAAGCAATTAACAATAATATGGACAGTGATCTGTTGATTGGGTGATTAAGTCTTGGTGTTACTATGTAATTTTTTGACAACCCACAACCTGGTTTCCCACTGGAATGGTCATCGGAGTGGCAAGTAAAGTAAAGGTGACAGATGCTAGTATTGTTTGTGTTGTACCTTGTCTGAAAATGAATACTTTGCTACCCACGTAACTGAGACCATTTGCTAATGATTGCAGCAGAAATATAGAATCAACACAGCAACAAAATCTCAGTGACCTGCTAGCTAAGCACACCAATGTATTTGTTGGGCCAGATTACCAACTGGAGAGAACTATAATCAATCACCACAATCCTTGTGCAGGCTTCCCTGGAGCACTAGGGATGTAGCCAGCACCGAGATAACACAGATGTTTTAGTATGAAATCATATAGCCTTCCAATAGTGTGATCATCTCCAGTGGTGACTATCTGGACACTTTGGAAAATGCCTAAAGGTTCAAAATTTTAGTCCTCACCTGGAAATGGTTGATGAAAGCAGAATCAGGACTGCCTTTAGCACTATGGGATGGCTCAAATTGTTACTTGTGAATCTGTTATTAACTTTATTGATAACACACTAATGAATGGCCAGTGTAATTTGAAAGGCAAAATCACATACCAGTAAGTGAGGCAGATTTAAGTATTTGAATTGACTGTTGTGATGCATGGGAAAACAATATGCCAGTAAAATAAAAAAATAGCAAGTTATTATTTCAGCACAGTTATTAATAATAAGAAAAAATTATCCATTATTCATTAAGTACCATCATGACTTTGAGTCAATATTTCCTTCTGTTATGTGGAAACATTAATTTAAATAATAATTATAAAATGATTTGTATTATCTTGTAAATTTTGAAGCATTGTTGTGCAAAGCTACACAATGGACTACCTGTGATGTGTCTGCTGTTGGGAATCAAACCTCATATTTTAGTGTTATATGATCTTAAGCTTACCACTGAGTCAGTGAGAGACATAACTGAAATGTTGTAATTTTCCACTTTAAGTAGTTTTAATATATTTTTTTTAATACAAATATTTTGTTTTTCTACTTTTGGTTTAAATGACAACAAAGATTTAAATTTTTTTCTGAATTAAAAACATGTATTAAAAGATATGAATAAAATTAATTCCAATGAATAATTTGAAAATAAAAAAATATATTTTTGAAAAAAAAATTAAATAATTTCTTTTATTAAAAAGATCAGATGCTTGTACAGTAAAAACAACATCAAAATGATCATAACTATGATTAAATTAATTTAGTGATGGTTCAATTAAAAATAATTAATAAGACTATGAAAACCTAAAATTATTTTTTACATCAGTCCCTTAGCAACTAAACTGTGCATGTGAACTTGTATATTATTATTTTTGCTTAATTAGTAGATATACATATATAATAAAACATTTACAACCTTGCTAAGGATTTCTTATTTCACATAAACTGAACTAACTATTATTTATGGAAGATGTAATCTGACAATTTTTTCTTGAAGTTTCAAACCAGCAAATATTTCCAAGCAAACAGTCATCCAAAACTCACCCACATAGATATAAACTGATGAAACAGGAAACAAACATCTGGTTTATTATTAATTTAAATGCATGAAAATTAATAATACAAACATACATAACAATATGGCTGAATAACATACAACAATATTTTTGATACATACAGATAACAATATAGTTCAAAAATAAACAATCATAACTTAATATTAGCAGTAAAAATTATTACAAATATATGCTTTAAGAGAATAATAAAATTAAAATTAGGTGCAATAAATCCCTTATCTTAATTATATTAAATCAATACATAATTAATATAATGAAATAAACTACAACACAAGACTCAAATGTTATGTATTTACAACTGAAAAGACAATAAAATAACTGAGAATACTATTTTATCATGACTGTTTTTTGACTAGAACCTGAAAAATAGAATTAATAGTAATTTTTTATACTTTGGACTAAACACTGATTCATTAAATTCGGCAACTTCATACATCATCATTATATACAATTTAGCTAATGTCACACATTCTTTTTTCATACCTGCTTGAGCATAACTTTAACTTCAATAAGCTTAAACAATTACATAATATGTTAGTTTTAAATATTCAATTTCTATATAGAATACTATCATATTTTTCCAGTTTATTACCATCTATACATTAATTATATTTACACAAGTTTGAAACTAGGGTATTATGATTTAATAAAGACAAAACTGAATCAAACTAACTGTGATCAAGACAATGGAAAATGTGTCTCAATGTAAAAAATGATACCTATTTCACTCCATTTTTAATTTCAAATAAACCTGTGGTTTTTCTGAAATAAATTACAAATTCAAAATCAAGAACAGCAAAGAAATGTTGTGGACAATAGAAACAACATATAGTAGGCAATAATATTTTTCTTTCTTTTAGTGTGGCAGTCATATCATAAGACAATAAGGTGCAATGCCATCAGCAAGTGCAAAGATTAAGATGAAGTAAATTTACTTTCCAATTCTAACTTGGCCTGAAATAAATGTTTCTACACAACAGTAATTAATGTAAAGAAATATCTTATTATTCACTTAAGAATGGAATGTTTAAAAGTCAAAATTACATTAAACTACAGAAAATAAGACTTGCTTAAGTTCAGAAATGCTTCTGTTGGAAAAACAAAAATCAAGAAATGAAGAACAGTTATCATTTTCTAATAACTGCTGAATAATTTTGAAATAAGAAACAAGCTGCTGTTACATGTAATCTGTAATATATAATTTAACAGAAAGAAAGTTTAACAAAATTCAAATACCCTAACTAAATTATATAGAAATAATAACAATAAAAAAGGAACATGAAAAAGTTTAAATGTGCAAAAAAAAACAAAAATAGCAGAGCTTTTGCTGATATTTATAAGCACTAAATCTTACACATGTGTGTATTATTTGTTAACACATAAAAGTGGTCATTGTAAAAGTAGAAATATTTTTAAAAATATGCCAAAAAGTTACCCAAAAAGATCTTTAGCAAAATCGAAAAGTAATGTCAAAAAAGAAGAGATGGTAAATTCCACAGGCTGTAGGAATGTGAAGAAGTTCAAAGCCATACCACATAGCAATCTGCTTTTACACCTAGAAGTAAATGCTCACCCACAATAATCTCACCTCCTCAACAATTCAAATGAAACACTCCATTTTTGCTGCCAATCTATATTCAGTCTCAGCATTGTTGTACATTTCTATTGCCTAAGATAAGTATTAGAAAAATGTGATGAGCAAATTGTTAACAAAAGTAAAAACACTAGTCATTAAAAATAAAGTTTCAGATGAAAATATTTTAAGCTTATGAGAACAAGGTGTCCCAGAAAAAGAATTCAATATATAATCTAAAATATGAATAACTAAAAGAATCTATACACACAATTTTTCAACTGTACAAGAAAACAAGGCATTGGAATAATACTATTAACATTTTTTTAGACATTTAGTAAGCATATGGGACTTCAAAATTTATGGGTTTCAATGATTTACATAAGAACAAAATCAAAGTCCTAAAAACTGTTGCTACACACAGTGTTTAATCATTTTGTAATTTTTATGCCCATCTTTATCACCTGAAAGCAGTCCAATATTCCATTAACTTTTCCTGCAAGTTTCTCATACTTAAGAAGAATCATTCCCAACCATTTTAACCACACAGACCCTCATCCATCTGGTATCCCATCTCTTAATATCATAATAATATTAGGCTTAACGCCGTTGATATCTCTAATATTGTCACACATCCTCTCAATCCTGCTTCTCTCTCTCTTAAGTTTTATTATAAACCGGTCCATCACTAAGTTTAATTTCTATGTGGCAAATTTTACATTCCCAGTGATCAGCAAGTGTAAGCAGCAAATAAATATCTGAATCCATGATTAATGAGCAACCTGAGTGAAACAACTTAGCAACATTTCTTTAACCAATAAAACATTTTATTTTTATTTTATAGTTAGTTGGTCTTTTCCTCTATTTATAGGATTAGCTCTTGTATTCCATCTGAGACTTCCATGTATCTCTACAAGTCAGTGTAACCCCAGATGAGAATCGGTATTTTAGAATATTTATTTTATTTCTTGTTTATGAAATAGTATATACAAGCTTTATGTAACATGAGTATTTACAATGCCAGTTATCTAAATGTTCTAAAGTATTTTGGTAAAACATACGTTTTCGATATCTTTGATGAGATCTTGCACTTGTTTTTCATGAACCTTCTTCAGCTTTTCACGTTCTTTTCCTTGTTTTAGAGCAGCAGTCTTCCGTTCTTCAATAAACTTTTTGGTGTTGTTGCTGTTTTTTTCCCGTAGCCTCCTATACAATGCAAATTATATCAATATTTTATCTTTTGCAACATCCTATGAATAAAAAAACAGCTTTTTTATATCTCCATTGTAATCTCAGATGCCCATTAAAAATAAAACAGTCACAGATGAATAAAAATTGAATTATATGGATCATCTATAATAAACTTTGAGGATATACAAGAAAAAAATCTCTAATTTTCTTTTTCTGATCAATCCTTGTAAAAACTGGAAAAATGCTCACATAATATATACACAAAAGTACTATAGCTATACAGAGGGCCACTGAATATTCCTACCTCTCACGTTCTGCTTTGTTCCGAAGAGTTTTATCATTTGCAACTTCTCTTGCTGTCTCTACAGATGCTTTAGCTTGTCTAGTCTTCATTTCTTTATTTTCCCTACAAATACGTAAAAAAACCTTATACAGATTTATTGTTTTAAACAAAGTTTTTGTTTAAGGTACTAACAAATATTACATTTACAAATGGAAGTATATCTTATTAAAGTAATTAAAACAGTTGTTTATGGAGTTTCCTAGTGTTAAATAGATTCTTATGGTAACACCAACAGAGTTCCACAGTCTCTTTTCTGACAGAGAACAACCTTTTGAATCCTAGCCATTAATCTTTTAAGTTTGGTAGCTAGAAACATTTTCATAACTGAAAACAAACTACAAGTGGTACAATCAAATTTATGCAGCTGTACAGTGTATTACAAGTTTGCTAAAGCTGTAACATTAAAACATCTATTAAAACACTTCTCTACCTGGTATGTAAAACTCGAGCTCCTTGCTTACTTAATAACGTCACTCAACTCAACATTTTAAATTTCAGGTGTTCATTATAACAGACATAGCTTTACCTTACTAAACACACTTTAGACCCAATTTAGGATAGCTGTACAAATTGAAAAGGCCCATGTAGTTCCTTCTTGAAGTTACATAAATTAGCAAGTCAATCCTTCATAACACTGGACATCAAAAAATTTGCTACTGGAAAAGACTCAAGTAACTTGGGGTAATTTGATGGCGCTGATTTCAAAAATGCAGTCAGAACTTGTCTATCACTTCTAGGTTTTGAGTTATTGTGATACCTCAATATTTTCTCAGCACAATGTGAAATATCATGCAATCAGCTCAGTGCAATAGATTTATGCTGTGAAATTAAGTTTACTTTGTCAGTTTAATAGTTAAACGACATATATTTTTGATAGCTTCAAACATTGACTGTATTGTATTGATGTAAAATTCCAAATATATTGTTCACAAATGCTATTTGTTCTAAACATAATTATAGAAATGCATCACTTTCACTTCATTACCACACTACCTGCCCTGCCTGGAAATCACAAAACCCTCATATGCTCAGTTTGCTAGAACATTCGAGAAGTCCCTAAACTGAACATAAAAGGGGCTGTGTCAGACACTGAGCACAGTTCAAAATGAGGACTAATCCTTGCATCATACACAAGATATAATCAAATCATGCAAAAATTTTAAACCCTAGTTCTGTAAACATAAATTCTTTTATATTTTTTAGAAAATCATTTGAAATGCTGGCTGTCTCCACTTCAAGTAATGTCCAAAAGTGCAAAAATCACCCAAAAAGTTTCTTCTACATTTGTGGAAAATATATTACAGTTTCACGAAGGAAAAACATCACACACAAGGTAAAGGTAGCTTACTACCACTATCATGGGTGTAAAATTGATGGCCAAGACAAGCACTGGGCTCCACGAGTATGTTGTACAGTTTGCACATCTGGCTTGACACAGTGGCTGAATAAGAAGAGAGCAAGTATGACATTTGCAGTTCCCATGATATGGTGTGAGCCCAAAGATCACCCAACTGACAGTTATCTTTGTATGACTACTGTTTCTGGATATTCAGGCAAAACTAAACAGTTCATTAAATATCCACACATTGTATCTGCAATGAAACCAGTACCTCATGGGGATGGTCTTCCAGTGCCACATCCACCTGCGAATTGAGAAACAAAAGAGTTATCCTACAAAGAAGACAATAAACCATCTTCATCCTCTTCATCTTGTAATTCTATTCCTGTGGCAGCTCAACATAAACTGCTTCATCTGATCACACAAGAAGAGCTAAATGATCTGAATTGTGCCTTATCTCTATCAAAGCAACATGGGGAACTTCTTGGCTCTTGTTTATAGCAATGGAAATTATTAGCTCCAGGAACAAGAGTTTAAATTTGTCGAAGTTGTATTCAAAGTCTTGCTTCTCACTAGAACATGCAAGATACTTTGTGTTTCTGGACAAATGTTGATGCACTAATGGAAAGAATTAGGTACTGAACATCATCCTCAAGAATGAAGACTTTTATCAACTCATCTAAAGTTAGTCTGAAAGGTGTGCTTTTGCACAATGGGAACACTAAGCCATCGATTCCTGTTGCTCATGCTGTGAACATAAAAAATACTTTTTCAAGAATACAGATTATACATTCTTAAATAAATAAAGTTATTAAAGAAAATGTTGTTATTTTCATGATATATTAGAATATTTTGAAAAAGTCTATTGTAACTCTAAAACTAGAGGTAATCAGTAATTTCCAACATGATTTTTAGAATCAGCATTGTTAAATTACTCGCAAACAGTTGTGTTTCTTCTAGTAGCAGGGAAAAAAAATATTTCGTTGCCCAGTGTAATTAACGTGGTGAATTTTTTATTGTTGTAATAGCATCTAACAACAGTAATAATATGCAAGAAATTTTGATTGACACCCAGTATTTGTGAAAGATTTGGAACACATATATCAAACACTTTTATACTATTATTTACCTTTTTTATTTTTTAATAATAAAACTTGCAGTATTCCATTTGCTGGACAACAAAAAACAAATAACCATAATCTCATTCAACTGATAGAAGCATGAAGAGAACCCAAAACATATTTTACCTGCTCTGATGATTTGCAAGAAGAAATATAAAAAATCAGTTTAGAAGAACTGATCAGATCATAAAAAAATTAAGTTAACAAAGAAATAAAAGCTAATCGTAATGAAAAGAACTTTAAATGCATGTTTAAGAAAAACTTCATATTAACCCTGCGTTAATCTTCCGGGGTCTTCAAGGACTCCAAATATTTTGTAAACATCGGTGCCAACAGATGGAAGCATTTACATGTTTGTTGTTCTCAGTAGCTTCAGTATTCAGTTAGTTTGTGTTAAATTGTTACACTTAGTTTAGGTGGTAAAAAAAGAAACAAGTTGTAATATTCAATGTTCGTTTATTGGTTAGTAAAGGAAAAGATTTTGAGTGTTAGTGTTTTTTTTGTTTCCAAAATAATAGTTTATTATTACTTAAATATTTTAATTCAGTTTTTTATGATGGGATCCATTTGTACCCCAGAACAGTGACTATGGAAAATTTTTACAGAAGACTAATGCAGGGTTAATCTAAAAAAAAGGCAATCAGTAAAAGCAGAAATATAGCATAATTAAAAAGAGGAAAACTCTTAAAACAATAGTAATTTGAATAAATAATTAAATATAAATAAACTTTGAGATAAACTTTATAGACATACATTTCCTTATTGACTTATAGTTTTTCTATTGGTCTTTAAGTCCATTAGTCGTTAAGTACACTTTGATTCTCTATTAAGCTGTTTATTTTGTGTACTATCCTACATTCATTGTTAATAGAGATCACAGCATCTTTGTATCATAACACTCATATACAACCTAACTGCTCCCCAGTGGCACTGCTAGAAATCGGGTTTCGATACCCATGGTGGGAAGAGCACAGATAGCTTTTGTATAGCTTTGTGATTAACTACAAAGAAACAAACAACCTAACTACAAGTTTTCTACAGTATTCATTGATGTATAATTAACTTTTTTTCTTTGATATGGAGATATGTGCCCTCATTCATATATGTATATATATAAAACCTAACCTGTTTAATTGCCTAATTATTAAACATATCTCTTAACTTTTATTTCTGAAATTCAATGTTCATACATCTGCATAAGATTAATCATCCAACTCATGTTATTTCCCCACTAACATTATTACTCTGGCCCATTTATACCTATTTCATCATTTGTAGCGTACTGCTCTAACCTTTCAAATTTAACTTCTAACTGTTTCATTTGCCCAGCTTGGGCTATCTCCATTAGTCTCTTAAGGATATCTCCCTGTTGTTGGAGATGGGCTTTCAAGAGGTCCCACTCCTCTCGACGGTGTCTTTCAAGCATCTCGGACCACTGTTTCATTTGGTCTACCACCATTTCTCGAACTTGAGGGTCATTTGCTAAGTCTTCTCTGGGAAACATTACATAAAATATAATAAAAAATTTCAATGAAGGTTAATTTTATAAACAACTGACAAAAAACATTTTATGGAGTTTTTACTTACAAGAGATTAAAAATCAAATGAGTGTTAAGATTTAGATAGAAAAAGTTTAATGTGAATTTTAGTAAAGATTTTCTAGAATAACATTTTTTGCAAGAAATATTACAATAGAATGACAATATAAAGTACAAAATAGCACTGCCACAATAAAACCGTTGGAAAAATATAATCTTCCAAAACGGAAATATAATACATTTCTTAAACTTCTCTGCACAAAAAAGGGTAACACATATCATAAACATTTTATCTTGGATATGAAAAATCCTGCTGAATAAAAAAAGGACAATAGAGTTAAAAAATAAAGTTATTTAAGTTTAATGAAGCTTACTTCTTTGTTATCAAAACATTATAACTTGTCAATAAACTAGCTTTATTTCTGAAATTGTCATAGCTAATAACAATTCTTTCAAAGACAAATGAACTTAGGTTAGGCATCAAGACATCTATATATATATATATATATATATTTATATAAGCACAAATGTCTATCTCTCTGTGGGTCTGTTCCTTATGCATGGCCACATCTTTAAACCGACAAACTCTAAACTAAGGGAACAGATATAACTTTGTGAGGGAAGTAATATGGGCTATGTGACTGCAGTCTCAGAGGCTGTTTTGAGGCCACAAATTGAAACCAAAGTGACCAATATAGCAATTTTTGGCAAACACAAAGACCAATTGGTCTCAAATTGAATAGGCCAAATTTTTTTGGTAATGTGTGATCAAGAGGGCTACAATTTACGTTTCTTCCCTGTTTGAGGGCTTCTAATCATTCTATTCATGATCAATTATGTGTTAAAATGATTTAAAAACTCTGTAGAGCCTTCATTTGATTCTCAGCTCATAATCTCTTCTTCGTTGCTCCTGACAGCAAGACAAAAAATATTTTGTACAAAGAAGCTTTACAGTAGATCAATAATTTAGCATGTAAATAAAGAACTAAATCAGTTAAAGCCACTTTCATTCGAACAATGCTGGTTATTCTGCTAGTATTTGATATTCTTAACTCACTTTCTAGCCAACTGTATCATTCCCAACCAATGAAAATTTTTCCCTTAGATCATTGAAATTTCTGTTCCAATTACGGCCAAAAATTCTTGTAGAAATATCCCTAGAGGTTTTATTTGGAATTGGGAATTTGTAATTCTTCATAAAGAAAGCATCATTTTAAAATTAATAACTGATTAAAAATGCTATAAATATCATTCTTCTCTGATATAGATTGACTGTCATTTTTGTTAAAATGGAGAAGAGTTAAATACAAAAAACTGATATTTTTTCCACTTTAGAGTTTGCCCTCAGTATTTAGAGCAAAAGAAATATTTAAAGTCATCAAAGTCAAATTTTTACTCTATTGATGGAATGAATATTTATGGTAGCTGTACTTTTGCTTCTTCTAAAATTAATTTCTGATCAAAGTCATCTAGAATTACTGCTAACTACTAGAACTGAAAATGAACCCAATAATGAATATAGCTAACTTAATACAATGCAAAATAATCCTTATAATAAAAATAGTTATATTAAACATTCTGATAAATACCCTTAATTAAAGTAACACAAAAGAAAGAAGATACAATAACTTACCTAAAGTGTGAAGAATGAACTCCTCAGATTGCACACATTATTTATGGTATGAATATTTATCTCAAAACTTTGCATACAACTCTTTGCTACAGGTATTATTCACTAACTAGCATTAAAAGCTTACATACCTTTTGTTCCCTTTTATGATTTTATCAATTGCAACACACTGTTGCTTCTGGATTCCAGTTTTCTCTTTTTGATGACGTTTCTTCACAGTATCTAGTTCCTTTTGTTGCTTCCTGGTCAATTTAAGAAAAGGTTTTTCAACCTTGAGGCTCTCTGAAGTTATGGGTTCCATCTTAAAATCATCTGAAAAGTTTTATGAAAAGTATAAGAAAAATAAGAGTTCCTTATGCTACTTTCCTGAAGTTTTTATAAGATCAGGTGTACTTTCCAAAAAAATTTATAGTGTAATCAGTTTAATAGAAATCAACTGCTGTATATATATATATATTTATTTTATCAAAAGCTACATATATGCTAAATTGACAGGTTTCACATATCTTCAGAGATTTTAACACTTTCCAGACCAGAGGAATACATTACTGATATCCTTTTATTTTATCTCAAATGACACTGGAAATACTTAACCGAACTGCATAAAATGTAATACAGAATTGCTAAACAGTATCCCATTTTGGCTTTAAAAATCATATATCATATGACTTAGTATTTCTCTCAATTTTAGATTGTGAAATTTCCAAAACTGTGTTGTAAGACTGCTTTGAAAAATAAACATTAAAATACTTTGCTTTCATCTTTGAATTTTAACTTTTATTTGATCAAAATGTTCAATTTTATGTCCAGTCTCTTTCAACTTGATTAGCATTCATTAACATATTTCTTTTGATAATCTATTGCAGTTGTCACCTCTTCCACTTATAAATCATATAAAAACATCGCAAAAAGTGATAAAGATTTATTGGTGACCTAGGACCTCAGCTTTCTAAATGTCACCATATAGAGGTGTTGCTAGTGGCTTAAAAGATTCATGACTCGGGCCCACAGGCACATGAATTTTCAGCATTTCGGTATGATATCGATCATGGTTTTTCTATTCTGATTTTTCAAGACACCAACTGGAAATTCGAGGAACTGACCCTCCCATGTCTGTGCCTAACGTCACCTTTGTCATCACCATTATATTTTCAATAAATAATATGTTATTTCATTTCTGTTAATTGTTTGAATATGATAAAATTAACAATGAATTTCAAAACAAGCACTTTCATATAATTGACTATTCAATAGTCAACTATTTGAAAGTGCTCAGGTTTTGGGTCTTTTTTTGAAATTCATTGCACTTTTACTATGTGATCCTGTGTGATAACTCTTTTATCAGAATAAAATTAACAATAATATTCACGAAATTTTGCCATCCCATACTGTACCTGCTAAACTTAACTAAGCTTACCTGATGTCTTAGTTTTACCTTCCATTAATTTAATCTATTACTACATATAGTTAATACTATAGCTATATACATCAGTTACGTATATAGTATAACATCACAATGGGAACTCAAGCTCTAATCTTTACCCTAATCTAAGCTTGTTGTCACTAATTAGTTCTACTCAACCTTTTTTTTCTTACATAGCTTGAAAATGCTGTCATATGTTGCTAATAAACCAATTAAAAGAAAAGCCAATATCTTAGTTCCTTAAATAATATTCTCATCAAGTAGGGGTAAACATTTTAAACCTATCTCATTTTAGTTCTCACTTCTTCAGAAATTTTACATCAGTTGCTTAGGACAGTATCATACTATAAATATTTCATGTTGGGTGAAAAGCCTAATCTTAGAATATCTCACAAAACAGGTTGATGCAAGAATGCCAGTTTCCATTCTAAGAAACCAAAGTAAAAACTGAGGCTTGAAACATTCTACCTTGATACCTTAGTCTATTATAATAGCAGTCTATTATGTCTCAACTACTACCTATTTAGAGAGTTTACCACAGTCACATAAAATAGTGTGGTACTTAGCATTTCATACTGCTTAAAAAGAGCTAAGAATTTTTAGGTTATAGTGTAGTTTATCTGTTCCCAGCATTAATAATACTCAAAAAAAGCATTCTTAATCTAAAATCGCACAGGGAATTAGAACTTTAAGGTTGTTGTACTTCATTTGTAGCTAGAATGACTTCTGTTCTAAATACCTTTTTTCTCTTCCTCTTTCTTTGAACTTCCTAACTTCAAATCTTTAGTCTGAATATCAGCTTCTTCAATCCCCATTGCTTTCATTTGTGCAGCTCGCTTTTCCTGGGCTGATAAGAAGGCTCTTGGATCAGACAAGGCATCCATTAAATCTGGAATGAAAAACTAAATAAATCACAAAAATTGACAAAATTACCAGGCAAGAAAAGAGAAAGAAAAAAAAAGAGATGAAAAAGCTAGGTCCATTGAAAGCTCCCTGAAGCTCCTATATTTTCAACAAATTAAAAAACATGTTCTGACATGTTTTTAAGTCTATTGAAAAAGGATTTTTTATACTCTTGTCCATTTCTTTTATTCTAGCCCCATCACATCTTTCAACAATTTTCAACATAACTTTTTTAGATTTATGGTTTTGAATGCATGCTTTCTTACTGCCACAGAAACAATGCAAACATCCAGTTCATTTATAAAAATGTCAGCAATTGAATTAGAGGCATCCACAGGATATATTACAGGGGGAGCAAAATGACATCAAAGCTATAACTAGGGAAATGCAAAATCAATAATCCAGGAGGGGTGCAAGTGCACCTCCTTCAGACATACACGAGTTAAATGTGACAACCAGTTAGATTTCAGTTTACTGGCACTTGAATAATTTAGCCATAAATCATTTGTTGTTGACTGGATAATCTGACATTTGGTCTGTCATAAATATGGTATGTTGGAAAGATGTAGAGAACAACACAATTCAGATTAGTCCCACATGAATTCTATTTATTGATCAGCACGTTGATGTTGTACAGAACTACACATACCCCTAAATCTTTCTTCTCAAATTCAAATGAATCACAAGATCCCCTGGAGATGGTCAGAAAGGTATAATTCAGCCAATCAGCAAAAAGTTTCATATCTGAATAACCCAAAGATTACCTAATGCTTGAAAAGTCACAACAGAAAAGTTACTGATTACAAACCTTTAAACTATTAATCTGTTTTATAAAATAAAGAAAATACTTTCAGGAAATATAAAATTTAGGAAAAAAAAGTATGGAAGTAAATGAAATAAAATTATTAACAATTTATATAGACAGATATGCGTAAAGCAAGAATATTATTTGCACATGTAAGAATGGTTTTTATTAACAATGCTAAATTTTTAATAGATTTAAGTTAAAATGTTTTGGATTTAGAATATAACACTCTTTCCCACCTCCTAGTCCATCAGGAACATAGATCTTCAGCTCAATACAAATAAATAACATGGCTAGCGATGTGGGAAAATTTCCTTCAGTCCGAAGAGCAACATGGCGATAACCTGTAGAAGAAATAAGTTGCATAAGTAAACTTTCTAGATTAGGAAAAAATACCCATTTCATCTTGAAAGATGTTAAGGCAAGACAATTATTTTATTAATTCTGATTTATTATTTTGTAAGAATACTAAGTACAAAACAAAAACATAGTAAAGTCTGAGAACTAAATATATCTATCCAATTAAGCTAAATCCATCCCATGCTGAGATTTTACTGAACTCTAAAGTTTCTATGGTACAACTGGTTGAGGATGGTGACACATTTCCTCTAGATTGGATCAGAGTCTATCACAGGTTAACCCCCAGATACTTGCTGGAAACCACTTGCACAATGAAACAAAAATATATAATGAGCAAGCCTCAAACTCATAACATCCTGACTATGAGTCCAATGCACTAGCAATTGAGCCATGCTGCCTTCATATTTATACAATGTTTGTTGTTAAAAGTTGTTCAAAACATTATACATAACTGTGCTATGCTAGTTAATGCTTTATTATGAAAAGCATAAACAATGAAATATTTACTTCTTTATACAGTACAGTTTTTTTTCCAATTCATACTAACCAGCCTGTAACCCATCCATAGGTAAGATTCTTTGTCCCAACATTTTTCCATTTTCATCATATACAGCTATACGGATCACTGCCAAATCAGGTAACACAACCTATAAAACAAAAACATTTTAATTCATAATGTAAATAAAAGGTATCCTACAATACTTATTTAACAAATATAATCAATAAGTGGCATATCCACCATAAAGCATGGCAAATGCGTGCACCCCCCCCCCCCAAAGAGATATAGAAAAATAAATATTTCTGATGCCTGGTTCTCTCTGTATTACTAATACAGTATACTCCAGCACATGTGTGATGATCCAATTCTGTTTTTATACTCCTGATTCCAATTTTACATGGTATCAGACTTTATCCACTGTGTGATGCAATGATATGAAGGGTCTCAGTCTATGGCATGAAAAAATTTTGCTAATTTATAATACATTTTCAAAAGTGAGACCCCCCCCCCCCTGGAAAATCCTGGATATGCCCCTGTCAATTATTTTACTGTCTGAAAAAAATCCCCCTGTCAGATCAGCAGTAACGTTATCAACTTGTAAAGCTAAAATAGCCCACTGTATAGCTTTGTACTAAAAACATGGCGATCAACCAAACTTGTTTGAAAAAAAAAAGATTGGTAAATTAAGGTTTTTAATGTAGATGAGCTTAAGGTTATTTTTTTATTTTAATGCAAATAAAAGAAAATTAATGGTGAAATACCTAAAAGACACCAGATTTTATTTGTTCTCTTGAATTTAATTTTTTAATAATAACTATGGAAGAATTTCTAAAAGATTCAGTAATGTTGACTTTTCTGAATATTTCAAAGTTTACAGACTAAATGTTTTTGATATAAAGTATTAATGTTTTTTTACTGTTTGAAAAAACTTTGTACTGCAAGCAGGTTTAACTTATTCTTCTGACAGTATTATAAACAACTTAATATTGAAACATTAGTGCAACTAATTATCACTGCCATTTACTGGTATAAAACAAAATATTTTCTATGATCATTTCTTAATATCCAAAATTGTATCTGTTTTTAACATTCTAAAATACATAAAGCAGCAGTTTAGTGATTTAGGTTTTAAGCTTTCTTTCAACTTAGAACTTCTCAAGAGCTTTATCCACATTACACAGTCATTTTCATTCAAAGATTCAATGCTAAACTGATGCCACTTAACTTTAAACTTTTTTGATGGAATATTACATTTGGTAAATTTTATTGAAAACAAGTACTGAAGAAGAAATTATGAACATTTTACACTTGTTAAGAATTTGACTTATATGTACTTAAATTTCAGTTTTGTAATCAGTAAGTACAAATACAATTTACCTACCTTTCTAAAGACAAAAGGCTCTTCATTATAGACAGGGTTCAGACCATTTGAGGGAACCATCCTTGTTCTAAACTCCTTCCTAATAGTGTCAGTTGGCAGTCCATACATGTCCACTTCCACGTAGGTTCCCACTTTCTTATCTGATAAGAACTGGCCTGATATCACACGAACAGAACATTGGGCTGCAATAACACCATCTACTGGAGACTCAGCAAAAGGATCAAAAGTCTTGTCTTGACGTCTCATGAAGTCAGGTTTCAAAAGATACCTGCAATATCGAATAAGTGAATGATGTTTTTCATCAAATGAAAACAATTAAATCCATTTCCACTGATACAACATTTCTCCAAAAATACTTATTAAATAGCAAGTTTTAATATTTGGTTCATGACAGTGATTATAATGGAAAGTCATTAATTTGTCAAGCTAAAGTAAAATACATTTATGTTATAATAGAAACCTCAAGATAAATAAAAAGTATGTATTCCTCTACAAATATATTTCAAAGCCGAAGGGGCATTAGAATATTTGGAATAGATAACTTTATAACAAATAAAATCACAGAAAAAACTGATTATCAACTAAACTGAGATTATTAGAGTGTATATTGTTTGAAATTATAATTCTCAGCTGAACATGGTTTGGGTTTTGTTATCTAGCATGACCTGATATATGTACATTTGAAATTTCTATCAAATAACTAAATTCTCTGTTTCCCCAGCCAAATCTACAGTAATGTGTCATAATTTTGTTAAAATTACACATTTGAAAGGAAGTTCTTACAGGCACATTTTGAATTTTTCATGTACAGTACGTAAACCAGAACATGATGCTAGCTACCCAATCATATTTCAACATCAACAGTGAAATGGTATTGATACAAGAAATACTGACCAAACAGGTTTTAGTTGATATAATTTTTTTTTTTCAAACATTGTTTGGATAATAGAATATATCTAACCTCACTGAGTGATGCAAAGTAATAGTTGTTTAGAAAAATCTCACTAAGTAAAGTTTAAAGGATAAATTGTGTCCTACTTCACATTTACTCCAAGTTTCCTTTGTTTTTTTACAAAATAATAAATACCTTTAACAAGTCTCAAGTGTTATTTAAAAGATTATTAGTTAACTGGCTGCAACCTGCAAAAGATGCACTTCCTTGCAAACATCATGCGTTACATCGATAAATCCTGGTCTATTTGAAAAAATTTATGTGGTCAGATAAACTCATGTAAACGTAATTTATTTAATAAAACTACACATAACGTAAACAATAAAATAAAGTAATGTAATGGTATTTATAATAGTTTACAGAGTATGAAACAGTTATGAGCATTCAATGCATGACACAGTTTTATGATTTGATACAAAGAAATTCGCAAAAACGAAGAATAAAACCCATAGTAAAGGAACGTATCTAAGAGATATCTATAGTAGTCTACAAAACAAACTGAAGCACATTTATTGCAAAGTAAAGTAAATGTAGTTGTAATGAAGACAAACTTAGCTGACTGTGTAGAAATGTCTAAATGTGTGTTCACAAAGTGATAAGCATATGGTTTTGAACAAACTGTGCATGCATATTTTAGACTGAATTGAAAAGCCAATATGCAATTTGGATTCCTCAGACAAAGGTCTTTCTAACAATATGGGATTTGTAGTGTTTGATCGAGAAAATTGCAAGTTCCAACAGAGAAACAAAAACGTATTATTTTTATCAATTAGTGCTTGAATTTGTCTTTTTTCAGGTACAAGATCAATGAAGTTTTAACTATATTATGTATACTAATAAAACAGCCTGATCAGGATTATTAAAACTTACTTAAGGATGGAATGAATAATTATACTTTGACTGTCAAGCGATGTTGAAATTATTCATGTGCCCATACTTTAAAACACTAACAATCTATTCTTGTTTTATAATAATAATAAGGTACAGTTATAACGTTAACCAATTAATTATTGACAGCTGACTAAGATTGACTAAAATTTCATTCATCCAGTTTCACTACAAAACATTTGAAAACTATTTATATAATCTTAAAATTATATTTGATTTACTATATTCAGTGACAATTTAAACTGAAAAGAAATTCAACTTTTTTTTAAGTGGATTTAAAGAAGAAAAATTTTCACTGGCAAGATTAACTTTAGCTACTACATGTTTTTAACATGTAATCAAATAGTGGCACACAAGTACTTATAAGCTATTGATTAATGTCATATTAAAAAAAAGTTTGGTCTTGCAAGTGAAATATTTTGAGGAAAGAACTTCGTGACCATTTGAATTTTTATTGTGGAAACTACCCCTTAGAAGAGGTAATGTTAACTTTATTTCTCAAACGCTTTGACAGTAGAATATCATCAAATGCATATACTAACCCACAGCCTCCATTGTATTCAAACTTTCCCTGGTTGAGTTGCATTGGGAGATCAGGTGTTTGGAAATTCAATGCTACCATCTGACAGCCAGCATTCCAAAAAATCTAGGGAAAAAAAATTACTAAGTCAGCAACCTATATTTATTTTTGTATGCAGTTCCTAGCTAGTCATAAGGTTGTTGTGGAAACACATCATTCTAATTTCTCATTAAGTTGAATGTGCATAAAATACAGTATAAACTATAGTTAAAATGAAACATACTTCGTCACTGTATACCAATAAAATCAATATAATCTTGATATAGATTTTTGTACATAAAAGTTAAAAAAAGAACATACAAAATGATTGGAAAAAATATCAGATGTTCCCACACAAACGTTTTGATTAGAAGCACACCCTCACATAAATGACACATTCAACTAAATTTAAAACTTTCTTTTATGTGGAACACATCAGTTCTTTTTTTTACTTGATAATTATCATCTAAGACACTTTAACTAATGTCTATCTGTGTCTTTTATTTATGGCAAAGCTAACTGGGCTATCTGACACTCTCCCCAGTTTTGAATTATTAAGCAGAGGGAAAGCAACCAGTCAGTAACACCTATCAACAATGCTAACAGATTGACTGTCACTTTTATAACACGCCCACAGCTTAAAGTGCAAGGCATATTTTGTAGTATCTCGTGGATGTGAACCTGATTAACTAGTTCCAAAAGCAAGCGCTCTTCCATAAAGCCAATCCATGACATTAGCCAATGTGTATAAATCTGAAAAATCTGTTGAAGTTCCAACTAATCTGGAGTTACTATTTAGTTTTTTCTTGTTCTTCTATTATTTCTCCAAATTATACATTAAGACGTATCATCATTTAAAATGACAAATCAGAGGTTTCACATATACATAAATTAAATATAAAATACCCTATCTAAATTTCTCCCAATTACCTATTTATACAATTAACTATTAAACATATTATTTTCGTTTTAACTCTATATTTCCATTATGGTAGTAAAAAAGATGTATATGAAAGAAGTTTTCTTAAGTGAATAGCATTTATAGCTTGTAAAATAATGTGAAAAAGACCACTGCATATTGTTCAGGTTGCTCGGTATATATATATATCTTACCCAGTTAACCATGATACCATATCTTTAATGGGGGCAGGATTTCCTGTTAATTTTTTAACTTACTATAATGCTTCCTCCCAGAGTAGGTATCAGTATTTAATGGATTAAAACAAATCAGTTTTCATACACACTTTACCTGGGGCATGAAGTTGCTAGAATCAGCTCTTGTTCCTTTAGGATAAATTCTACTTAACTGTCTCTTGTTGTAGCTGAATTAAAAGAATTAAGGTATTCTAGTATATTTGAATATATCAACATACATGTTATTTAGCTTAAAATTATCCATACAATACAGTTACCTCAGAAGCCACCAAGACAATTTCATTATGATCAAAAATTGAAATATGTGTTTCCTTGCACAGAACTACATATGTAACAGATATAAACCAAACTATTCAGAGGTCAAGCTATAATACAATCTCTGAGTCATGAGAAAATAATTTTTTAAACCAAAAATTTAAATATTCTACCTCAATATAGTTACATCCTTGAGTCAATATTCAGTTAAATTCAAACCTTATATGTAATAAAGTTTTAACCCTATTGTTTAGCATTCCAGGAGAAAATAGGACATTTAAATAAAAATGACTGAAGAAAGTAGAATTTAAATAAATGATTAACAATTGTTATACATAATATTTTTATTAAGCAACAGTTTAAAGATTCATATTTTTAATACACAATAACTTATTACATCGCAGTAAATGTTACACAGTAAAATTTGGGTATTGTTATTTTTTTTCACAACCAAAATAAAAATCAGTCATAAAAGGAACTTATTTTCACAAAATGGATAGTAATTAAAATTTTGAAATTTTCTATTACTATATCCAACACTTCTCTAGGTTTCTAAAGAAAAGTTTTCCAAATGGCCAACTTCTTTTTTTTTTTTCAAAAACCAACTAAATTTCATGCATATGAGATGATACAAAAAAATTGCTTTAAATCTTCACAGAAGATTGCAACAATAAAGGATACTTTACAAATTCAATGGCCTGAGACTTGAGGTAGCCAAGAGCTGCCGTTTCAGCAAATGAAGACATGTTCCAGTGAATGTTCTTCTCTAGAAGTAGAAGACAGATTTAAATTTTTGTTGACTGGTTACCAATTTTGATATATAAAATTTTGTATACAATCTCTAGCCCCAAAACATAATAAAAATTCTTAGATAAACTGATACTCCTTCTTAAGGATACATCATGGGAATTTATTTGCAAGTACAAAAAACAAACCTTAAGGTCTTAAAGCCTAACTTTGAATTTCTGTTTCCATGATGCATCTGGTGGAAATCTTAATCAGTATGAGGGTTAGAGTAGATTTTTCATAATTTTAGATTTAGTTTAGAATGTACTTAAAAACTCAATATTTATCTTACACAATGTTTTTTTAATTTTTCAGTAAGACTATAAAGCAAATATTTCTTAAAAGTGAATAAAGAATTTTAACATCACATACTTCACATTCAATTTAAAGATAACTATTAATATTCTTCTTATTTAAAAGTAAAAGTTAACTAATCACAAACTTATGGAAGGCAGTTTTTCTTCAATGCATTTAACTCATTAATTGTAATGTAATGAATGACACAAAGATAATATTAATTCTCACTGACCAAATAACACCAAGCAGACCCCAGAACTAAAATTTTAAGATCATTGAATATATATGATGCATAAAACATATAAAATCAAGCTCTGTTACACCATAACACTTGTTTTATTTCAGTTGTTTATAAGTGCTGCTTATTACTTTTCAGGTTAAATAGCAATTAAATATAAAACCTAAATAATCTACAATAAAACATAATTTTATGTGAAAGTTTGATTATCTTTTATAGCTACACACTTACTTGATTGCATTCTTCACCAAATAGGTTACATTAAAAAAATAAACAAATTCAGACACATGCTCCAGAAAATGTTATCTTATTTTTTCTGTAAAGAAAAATACCCAACTTTTATTATTTTAATTAAATTTCTCTAACCTTCTGCAACATCAAATCCTTGGAATTTGATTGGTTCAGCATAGTTGACAAGAGATGACAAAAGAGGATGGACATGTGTGGTAGCACCGGTATACTGGTAATTTGCCATGGCAACTTGTTCTTCACTTACCTCCTATATATTAGTATGTCAAAATTCTTCTCAAACCAATAAGAATAACTAACTAAAAACAGTTCACTATTAATAAGAGTTTAAGAAGAAATGATGTAAACATTGTAGAACAAACTTTTTGTAGCATCTAAAATATAGTAACTTCACTAAATTTGTTTGCATTCATATATTTTTGCTAGAAGTCTGAAATAGCATATACATATATACTCTCAATGATAAGATTAATTACAATGCAATAAACTTTTGAGTTAAAAGTTTTGGCAAAAGGTTAAAAGTATTTTTGAAGTATAAAAGGCCTTTATAAAAATGTTGAAGTTTACACTATCATTTTGAAATAACAAGATTATGTTATATTAACTGGGTAAGTTATTTTTTAAGAACACTTTAATTTACAAACAGAATGTAAAAAAAATTAAAACTATTATTACTTTATTGTTTCAAAAATCTTGGATTTCTAATTCATTCATAAATATTTTATAAGTGATTTAAAAAACATGCTTTTTAATTCACACTTTTGTAGATATTATATGAATTAAATCTGTGAATATTTTTTTTTCTCATAATGACTGTAATCAAATCAAGTATTAAGTAAAAATACCATAGATAAAACAAAATAATGTAGGATCATTGCTACTTACCAAACAATATTTGATCAATTAATCTAAATTATTAAGTTCAGTTAACAAATAAGACTTGAAAATTACTAAATTTAATTATCACCAAGGTAAGCTAAACTAATTATATTATTGAATCTCATGAAAATTTTAATAAACAAAAAAGTTTTATATCCTAGAATAAATCTATACAACTTGTCACATTTCTAGAAGAAGCACAATATTCTTAAACATTAATAAAGTAAGCAAATTATTAACTTTTGCCTAAAAGCATTCCTTGTCAGAACTTTTTTTAAATGAAAGATGTATTTAAAGATATAATGTCATGAAAAATCAAGTGTTATAAAAGCTGATAATGCTTGATGCTTAGAAACCCATATATGTTTAATTTATTAAAGTTTGTTTTGCTAACAAATCGCAGAAGTTGAAAGCTAAGAAATTTATTTCTCCTTTTTCACTTATCTTATATTTACCATGTTTTAAGTTTATTCAATAAGGACTAGGCTTATGTTTGATTAAAGTCTTTTGTATATGATTTATTATTGAGCTTATTCAGTATTTTCCTCTACAGTTTCATTTTTCTAATAGGGTGGTTGGCCTTTGAATAGGTTGCCTTCTGATGTTGTAGAGGCAGTAAATTTAAGTGAGTTTACGAAAAAGCTTGATAAGTATAAGAATGATAAGGGCTGGCTTTAAGATTTGCTTTTTTAATTATTTTGATTTAGTTTAGAGGATGTAACAGCCGAGATGGACCAATAGCTCCCATGTTCTCCTAAAACGTTACGTTATGTTATATGTGAATAAGCTTCAATAAATTTATTTTGTTGAACATAAAAATTAAGTATTGAGGGTTTTTATGTTAAAACAAATTTATTAATTACTTTTTGTAATTATTCTATGCTGGTTTAGCACACGTTAAAGAAAGTTAGTTCTTGAGCCAAAGCCCACGTCAGGATAATATTCTTTTGTTAAACATACAAGCACTAAATTGCAAAAGTGACAAATTTACTCATATACATTTGAATACTAGAACCTAAACAGTGATAAATGATGTTACATAAATTAAAGTTTTGAATTTGGAACAGAATACACATGAAGTATATTTACTTGCTAGTTTACAAATGAAGTATACTTACTTGTTACTTTATACGTGAAGTAAATTTACATGCTACTTTATACATTAACATGTTACTTTCCATGAAGTATATTTACATGTTACTTTTTCTTACAAATATATTTGTGAAACTTCTAGGAAAACAGTAAAAAACTCACACCTAAAAAGAATATCAATATAAAATTAATACTTTAAGCTAATTTTAGTAATAAAACATAACAGTCCATAGACATTATCCATGTTACTCCTCCATCAACAAATACGCAGAAAGAATCAAAATCACAGCATTTAAGTTTCAGTTTCTTGTTTGGTTTGGATAATTCAGGTTTTGAAGCCAATAAGTCATACCTTCTTTTCTGAAAAAAAAAAAAATTACAAACTAAGAAAAATTTCTATTCAACTTATTTCTGAAACATTAGATAATATATAACTATGTTTAACTGATGATTATGTGACCTATTTCTCAGAAAAATAACTATCATGTACAGCTTTTCTTCAGCAGTTAACATTAGTCACAAAATCAGTGTCCCATCTAGTAAATATAACAGAAACATATCCTCATTCATAATACAAATATATACTTACCCATTTACAAACATCAAGATCAGTGTCACAGCAGGTAAACCTAACACAAATATATCCTTGTTCTTAATACATATATATTCTTGCTGATTCATAAACAATATGATCATTGTCACAGCTGGTAAACCTAACACAAATATATCCTTGTTCTTAATACAAATATATTCTTGCTGATTCATAAACAATATGATCAGTGTCATAGCTGGTAAACCTAACACAAGCATATCTTTATTGACTAATATGATATCATTCTTAAACAAATAAGGATAATACAAACCACATCCTTGATGACTTAATTACATGTATATTACACCATGGTTAATTTTATAGCCCATGAACATAATACAAATATGTCTTTACTAACTTAAATTGTATTAAAGACCGGGATCTGGAGTCAAAATAGCAATTCTCTCCACTACTGTGACTATATATATATAGGTATTGCTAAAACTGTTCTAAGTGCTGTAGTGCCACTATTATAATGTTTCAAATCATATCTAAACACTCTAACAGATTCTATATGAACAGATTCAACAATCTAGAATGTACTGAATGTATTAATATACTAATAGTTTGTGTTTTTACTTCAAAATTCATAAAGTTTTTAAGATTAGTAGCATTATTGTCAAAAACACATGGAAGCACTATCCATTAGACAACATCTCCAAAATATTTTCATTCTTCTTTGAATAAATCAAAATATATACATTAAGAATCATTGTTATTTAAATATCTATGAAGCAAAATCAAATTAAATGCTTTTTCATTCTTAGATCAGCTGATAAAGCAAGTCCATAACTTGGTAAAAAGATTCTATGTAAAAAAATGATAAATACATTATAATGAAAATCCAGCTTTGTACTGTGTAAAATTGAAATTCAAGAAACAAACTGTGATATTTGACCAAAACACTTTATATGTAAACAAAACAAATTAGAACAAAAGGATCGATTTAAAGATGTGATATCTACAAAAACAAAATGAGCCAAGGAGCCATATTATGTAAAATGCCAATCTCTGTAAGTATGTAATCTACAAAAAAAAGAGAAGTTAGACAGAGTTGTAATGTTAATTGTGTACATCAAACAAGACACAGGACAGATTTGGGCTTTTCTTTTTTATTCATATTGATACTAGTTCTTGTTGCAATGATAAAGTGGGGGACCAAGATTTCTTCAATTGTATCTTGTTTAACTTGGAAATTTTAAAATTAAATCTTTATGTTACTTGACTCTTTCTTTTTTGTAGATTACATGTTTACAGAGCTTTACATTTTACGTAATTTGTCTTTTTTTGTGTATGTCACATTTTTATATGGCTAGCCCCTTTTTTAATAACTTTGTTATTTTTTGTAGATATCATATGCTTATATGGCTGAATTCAAACTTGTTTTTTTTTAATGTAAGGTGTTTGGTCAGATGAAAACTTACAGCTAATGAATATAAAACAAACTTATTTTTTGTTAAGTTATAATTTTGTTTTCTGTTAAGCACAAAGATACACAATGGGATACATCTGCCGTGACTACCATGAGTATCAAAACCCAATGATTAGCAATGTGAGCCTTCAGACTTACCACTTACTGTTGAGCCACTAGAGGACCCAAGTTATGACAATTACAACAAACATACATAGTACAAAAACACCCATATTGACTTACAATACATCATGATCAAACAGACATTTTTGACTGTTACTAATTGTCTCTTAGTATTTATTAAGAGCATAATCTATTTAAAAATTATCATAATACATTTTCATAATATTTTTATTAACAATACAAGGCTCATGTACATACACTGTATATTAACTTTGTATGAAAAGAAATAAAAACAACATATACAAAAATCTCAGTCTTGTTGTTTAACTATGGAGTTAGTAACAAAAGTTTAGCCTGTTAATGTTTTCTATTAAGCTACCATTACATCTTTTACTAACCATGATTATAAACTAAACCTCATTTTTTATCAATACTTCTTTGTATGAGTACATGAAACTTATAACAAATCACATAAAAATGGTACATAAACATTCATCAAAATTTACAATAATTACAGTTTATCTACAGACACTTATGAAAAATCAACATTTTTATAATTTATCATCACTGATAAAACTAATCATTGTTTTATTTTAATATTTTTTCAAACTTCTGTGAAGCAATGGTCTAAATGTTCCTATACAAAAATAATAATTTCGTTACTATTAGATATAATGTTATTCAGATGTTTGTTACAATTTTAAGTTACATCTAATTTACCTATGTCCCTGCAACAGACTTATTATTTGGGTTTAATATGGCATTAAGTTTTAATTAGCAATTCTAACAAAATTAATTTTACTTGGAAAATAAAATATAGCATGCCTGGTCACTCTGAAGATAACTGAATCCAACACAAAAACAAAATAGGGAAAAAAACCATTCCTACATTATTTTAAAATCCTGTAAATAATAAAGGTATTACCATCAACTGTTTCATCTCCTGAGCCCGTAGTCAGGGCTTCTACATTCACTGCTGCATCTTCTTTTTCTTCCTCATCATCATTTTGTAACTGTCCTTTTCTCCACAATTCCATTTCCTCTGAAATGTGAATAAAATTAAGTAAGTATAGAATAATTATTATACGTACCTAACACCAGTCTTGGTTAAAAATGTAAAGTAGAGAGACCAGATACTGGAACACTCAACCCTGTTGCAGAACACTAGGAATGAACAAGTCCAAAATCAAGTTTTTTTCTCTTTTAAAAATGCTAAAATATTTTATTATTATTTTCATTTTCATTTCATAAACCAGTTATTACTTAAAATACTCAAATAATCAATGTTTTTAATTGTGTACTTAAAACACCTTTTAATACAGTTTTCATTTAATTTTAAATATATTTTAAAAATGTTCAATAAGTCATTCCATTTCTGACTGAACATGCTATACCTACTTGTGGCAGGTATTTTTATTTTTTAATCTTTTAACATAGTCCTCCATTGAATACATCAAATAAAATAGAGAGACCATGACCACAGAAAAACAAGCAATATGATGAATAAGTTACATACGTTTCTCAACTTCTGGTTTCAATCTCTTGTTCTTGATTAAGATCTTTCTCTTCATATCATTAGGGCTTGGAAGAGGCACCCCTGGCTCTAACTGTGATAAAAATATGATTTGACTCAGAAATTAAAAATTTCTATTGTAATTTACAACACCAAAATGGTGGATTTACAACATATGTTCAAGATTATCAGGTATTTTGAGTTGATATGTATCTACTATTTTGACTGTGTGCATTTTTTTAAGCAATCATGAATTAGAATAAGTAGTTCTTTCTTTAAACTGCTCTCTCCATGATATAATGAATTAACTCAGAAAAGTTCCTGAAAGTGGAGCTAATAGATAATTACATGCATTTTGATGTTTACAATTTACACTAGCTTTTGATATTCACCTGCTATTAACAAACATATTTTAATATCAGAAATATCACTTTTTTTAATTGAAAAAGGTATATATTTATACATGTATTACTTACAGGATATTCTGGCAGTGGCTCTTTCAATAGCAGCTCACCAAGAATCTCATCACAATACCTGGCTAGCTTGTATTGTTGGGTTTTACTAAAAGCAAAATATAAGTAGATAAAAAGTACTATCAAATGTAAGATGACTGTTAGCTTATAACAAATGCTAGAAATGTCACAACTGTTAAAAAACTTTAATAAAATTATGAAAAAATTTTTTTACCTCAAGTTGTAATTTATACACATAAAACAACGCTGTTCAGTTTTCTCTCAATCATAGCACATACTAATTATAACTTATCAAATCCTCTTTTTTTATAAATTCAAAGGTTTTCCCTCACTTTTCATGTTTTTTTTCAATATTCTAATAAAATTGAGTTCTACTATTTTCATGACAAACTTAACAAGTATGTACATTTGTAACCTTATTAATCTTCTCTGGACAATAGCTTGTATTATTTAATTATGAGATATTACTAAACTATCAATTAATACAATCTCTTTATAAGAAACATTTGTTTTATCCTTCTAAGCAAATCTTACCTGCAGTGATTTTCAAATGAAAGAATAACAGGATAATCAGATGTTACAAAAGCACAGTCTCTGATAGCATAGAACACATCCTAAAAAGAAACCATTAGTTATGGTAGGTTTCAGTTTTATTTCTATCATTCTAGACTTATTTCATTCACATACACCAGTTCATGTCTTCATCTAATATGCTCTTTCAAACACACACACACACACATACATATTTTCCAATTACCTGCATTACATCAAAGGCTTACTGACAATTACTCAACCCTAATGAAGCAATTATGTAAAAATACAACATTACAGATATACATACCCATGCCAACAAACTGCAACAAAATAACATAAAATTATACCATTTGTACAGAAGTATATATATTATATCATTTTAAAGAGAAAATATCTGTGGCCATGGCACACAAAAGCATTGTGGGATGTTCCACCAATCAGACATAATCAAAACAACACACACACAAAATTAGAATGCAAGCTCTTGAATCAATAAGGGGTTAGGGCCTCCACCCTTTTTTTTATAGCTCTAATAATATATGATATCTTTTTTTGTATTATAATATTACTTATGATATTATAAACTATAAATCCACTACCTCCTCTCTTAACTAGAACCTAATCTTGCAAGCAAACCTAGGTAAACTGACCTAGGTCCAGTTGCCAGAAGTTATCCTTTCTGACCCAGATATACTGAAAGTTTTATTATAAATACCAATAGTTTGATATTAAGATCTTAGTTATTAGTGTCCTCTCAAATATATATTTAAAAAAATAAAACATAACTACAATCATCCATAACAATTATAATATACCAAGATTCATAATTAAAAGATAATTATAAGCACTCTTAGTATATCTACAAGTACTGAAACTGTAAAATATTTGATATTATAATCTTATGTGTAGATTAGGTTTTTATTATTATAAGAAATAAATCCTACATTATAATTTTTCTTTTTGAAATATAAACAACTTCTCAAAATAATAAAGGTTTGGCCTTTCACACGTATCTTTCATGTTTAAATAAGTATAATTTGTTTAATCTTTTTGAAGGACCAGCATTACTCAGCATCCTTTTAGAGACCAGCATTATACAACACATCTTTAAGGAATTAGCATTAAAAAGCTCTTCTGTAAGGACCAATAACTATTACATACCACATATTTGAGGAATCAGCATATTCTTCAGAACCAAATATTACACAATGTTTATTTAGGAACCCAGTGATACACAATATGTTCTTAAGAATCCAGCATAACACAATATGTCCTTAAAGAACCAATATTACACAGCATGTTCTTAGAAACCCAACATTACACAACATATACTTAAGGACCTAGTGTTATACAACATGCTCTAAAGGACCTAGAAACACAATATGTTCTTAAGGACCCAGCATAACACAATATATCCTTAAAGAACCAATATTACACTGCATATTCTTAGAAACCCAACATTACACAACATATACTTAAGGATCCAGTTTTATACAACATGCTCTTAAGGACCTAGAATTACACAATATGTTGTTAAGGGCCCCGCATTACATAATATGTCTTTAAAAACCTAACATTACACAGCATATTCTTAAGAACTTAACATTACACAACATATACTTAAGGACCCAGTGTTATACAAGATGTCCTTAAGGACCTAGCATTATACAATGTCTTTAAGGAACCAACATTATATAATATGTTCTTAAGGAAGCAGAATTACACAACATTTTTTTAAGAACCCAGAATTACACAGCATATCCTTAAGGCACCAACATTACACAATGTCTTTAAGGAACCAACATTATATATGTTCTTAAGGAAGCAAAATTACACAACATTTTTTTAAGAACCCAGAATTACACAGCTTATCCTTAAGGCACCAACATTACACAATGTCTTTAAGGAACCAACATTATATATGTTCTTAAGGAAGCAAAATTACACAACATTTTTTTAAGAACCCAGATTTACACAGCATATCCCTTAAGGCACCAACATTACACAATATGTTCTTAAGCAACCAGTATTACATAATATGTCCTTAAGAAACCAATATTACATGAAATGTCCTTAAGGAACCAGAATTACACAATGTGTCCTTAAGGAGTGAACATTACACAACATGTTCTTAAGGGATCAGCATTACATACCATTCTTTAAGGACACAACATTACACAACCCTGTCTTTAAGGGATGACAATTACATAATATGTCCTTAAGGATCCAGCAATTAACAATATGCATTTAAGAAAGCAGCATTATGCAACATGTCCTTAATTACAGACCTAGAATTACACATGCCCTTTAGGAAGTAATATTACACAACTTGCCCATAATTAAGGATCCAGCATTACACAAAATATCTTTAAAGGATCAGCATTGTGGCATTTTTTGTGAATAATATACATATTCCATACAAAAACATACACAGTAAAAAACTAAAGCACTGGATACTAAGGAAGAAAGTAACACTGAAATAAGAAAACTAACTTAATAATAACCTAAAATTTGGAGCTATCATATGCTTTATTATTTCAGATACTTAAAACGTGAACTAAGAGTTCAACTACTCTCTATTTAAATTCTTAACATAAAGTATAATTTAAGTTTAAAAAAATCATCATTAAAAGTAAAAAAAAATATATATATGATTATACAACCATTACAATAATCACAAAATATTCCAACATGACCACATTGGTTGAAGTGGGGGAGGGAGAAAACAGAATGGTTTGTGAAAGTTTTGAAGCTGAGTATTATATTTCTTGTTTTTCATTTGTTTTCTTTACTTACAGCCTACTTAAAGGTAGGATGATGGTCTTGGGCCCTCCTAAAAAGAAGTGGGATGGCCCACCCCACTTCAAGCACTGCATGTAAATGTACTGGTATACTCACCATAACACATTTACATGTGTGGCTTTTGAACTACTAACAGGAATAATCACCTACCTTACATAAAATGTCTGTACACATAGCTTTTCCATGTGTAATAATAGGTTCTTCATCTTCTCCCTTCCCATCCCAACAGTCCAGCTCTACACACCTAAAATGTAGTAGATTTAGACAGAGATTAAATTAATAGTTAACTTAATGAATATAAATTTAAAATAGACTAATAACTTCCATTAATGTAAGATGAGAATTTTCAATGACTCAGTAAGTTGGAAATAGTCCTGCAGGTCAGGTGATCGAAATCTGAGATCTAATTTAGAATTAACATCAGCTCCTCAGTAATGAATTTAAATACAAATACTTAAAATACATTAACAAGACTCTTTACCCAACCCTGGTCATTAGTCTTCCCTGTCACTGCAAGCATATATGGTTAGATAACTGCCTGTCTGATTTTATACAAGTGTTATTTACAGAGACTACATCTATGACACCTTTTTCACTGTTATGTCCTGCTAACATGTTCCAAAATTCACAGCAAATTTAAAATTCCAGCATCCCAAGGTTACATTCACTTGTAAACCTGATGAAAATGGATCATTATATTTTTATGAATATCAAAAAAGCTAAAACAGGTTATATTTTTGCTTCTTATGTATATCATAAAAGCATTTTCACTCACTTCAATTATAACTATGAGAGTGTTATTCCAACTTTATAATAAACAATGCACTGCCCCCAAATTTCCTCTCATTATCTAGCCATCATTCAAATGTTCTCAAAATCTATAGATTAGAAAACAAATTTCTAGACTCTTAATTTATTTGTAATTTTCTAAATTTGTTTTTGTCAGTTTTTTTCTACTATTGAAAGTTCATCAACTAAACATTTAAGTGCACAGAGCTGGGATCACTCTCATTAGTTAATAAACTTGCAGCAAAGAGGCTGTCAATTTGTTTGTGATGTTCCAAGATGAATCAGGTAACAGATTGGGTTGTGATGTTCCAAGATGGATAGCTGCTGTTATTGTTGATGAATCAGGTAACAGATTGGGTTGTGATGTACCAAGATAGATAGCTGCTGTTGTTGTTGATGAATCAAGTAACAGATTGGGTTGTGATGTTCCAAGATAGATAGCTGCTGTTATTGTTGATGAATCAGGTAACAGATTGGGTTGTGATGTTCCAAGATGAATCAGGTAACAGCTTGGGTTGTGATGTTCCAAGATGAATCAGGTAACAGCTTGGGTTGTGATGTTCCAAGATAGATAGCTGCTGTTGTTGTTGATGAATCAGGTAACAGATTGGGTTGTGATGTTCCAAGATAGATAGCTGCTGTTGTTGTTGATGAATCAAGTAACAGATTGGGTTGTGATGTTCCAAGATGAATCAGGTAACAGCTTGGGTTGTGATGTTCCAAGATAGATAGCTGCTGTTGTTGTTGATGAATCAGGTAACAGATTGGGTTGTGATGTTCCAAGATAGATAGCTGTTGTTCCTGTTGATGAATCAAGTAACAGATTGGGTTGTGATGTTCCAAGATAGATAGCTGTTGTTCCTGTTGATGAGTCAGGTAACAGATTGGGTTGTGATGTTCCAAAATAGACAGCTGTTGTTCTTGTTGATGAATCAGGTAATAGATTGGGTCATACAGTGGGAAGCAAGAGACAGAATCTAAACTGACCTTGGGAAGATTGCAGTGATTCAAGACTGATCTCAACTTGTATTGAGATGTTTGAAGCTTCTTTGATTTTGTAATGTATTATCAATGTTTCCAAGATTGTCACTCCATTATCTGCTCTCACTAAAACCAATAAGCATTTTAGATGGGCTGAGGAGCACAAGCATGCATTCTTGTCCCTTAGACATGATTTAGTGGATCACTAGCATATCCACACACCAATATAACATGATGAAGAACCAAGATCAGATGCCTGAAAAGCACCTAGGCCAGTCATTTGATAGAGAAACCAATGAAAGTGTGTGTGTGACCCTTGTTTTCCAAGCTATCAAGTGACTTTCTCCAACAACATGTATGAACAGCATATTCTGCTTATAACTCGATCATCAAATCTTAGGAGAGATGGTTCTAGTAGATGTAATGCCTAGAATGTTAACAGTTTACACAACTGTTCGCTTGGAATTTTAAAACTCATCCAAAAGTGCACTGTGATCCTTGCTTTCTGAGGTAGAAAGAAATATTTTTCAGTGAAACAATCCTCTGGCATTTCTCAAAGTTCTCTTATCCTTAGTTCAGTAGCAGCAGTTTTCCAGTACAGGTGCTTGTGAGAATCTCACCAGTGCACTTGGATGTATATAAATCCTCCATGTTCCATGAGTTAGTTGTGTTCTTTACCAGCACATACAGTACACAGGGTGTCTGTGAATCCTGATGCAATAGATCTTATTTGTCTCTATTTACTTTTCTGTGATGCCAGCTGAAGGGAGTGAATTGATTCATGTTAGACAATACTGTGTCCCAATGATCCAGAGTTGGAAGCTGTCTCAGTTGTATTGTGGACAACTGTATATAGCAGAGGTTTGTATGTATTGATATGCAAGGTAGAAACATGAAAGATATTAATTTTAGCAATGATCATTTTCAGTTAAAAAGTCTAAATTCAGCTAAATTCTGCCACTAATTATTTAAAATATTGCTACTTATAAAATACTTTTACTACCCACGGACAGTGGCACATTATGTTATATAGTTTATGGATGAAGCCCATGGTAGTTACTCATGATAATGGCACACAGGCCTGAAGTAGTCTGTCAACAGCTATTAAAGCATAAGATGCATCCAGCACTTCTGGAAGTGAGTTCCAAGCCTAAAATAAAAGTGAAGTCAGAAGGCTTGGATAAGATCTACAAGTGTTCTGTCAGAGGAATTTCATCAAAAAATGATATCATCATCCACTGCATTCATCTCTGAATAAACCATCATGGCCATCTTCCTGTCCAAAGCTTCAATCAATGAAAAAGTCACTGAAGAAGAGAAAAGGTCAACCAACCATCACATAAGAGACAACAATGATGAATACCATTAAACCATCTATGAGGATGGATGATGAACACTAAACTCATCAACACTGGCTGAACTTGTGAAAACCATGAAAATTCAGACAAAGAAGTTAGAACTACCCACCAGTACAGCTGTCATGAAAGGTAGATTTTAACCTTTGAAAGTTTGAAACACATTACTAAATGAATGTTTAAACCCCCAACAGTAATCAACTGAATAATTTACTAATGACATCACCATAATTCCTAGTCTAGGATTTGACTGAAATGCCTTTTACTTTACAAGAAATCAATACAAGTTAAATAAAACTTTCACATGTATTTTAAAAATATATTACATAAAACAGTAATCACATTTTTATATTTTAGATATATATCAAATATTACACATTGTTGATGCTATGTGAAATACTCATGTGCTATGTACAGTAAGCTTGCATTACAAGCGCACCACATTGCATCCAATTAAAAAAAACTACAGCTGACTTAAGCAAAACAAATGTTAATTTAACAGTCACCATTCCAATTAGGAACAGACAGTGATAATCTTTTTAGAATAACATTGTTTATTAATTAATCACACCTAATAAATATAATAATAAATAAACAGCAAAACAGGACAGAGTAACACTAACAGGTGGATTAGAAAATAAAGACAAACCTTTAATTATAACAAAAAATTACAAGAATGTTGTTATCTGTCACTTTTTTTTTGTTAACAACAGCACTGGTTAATTAAACGTAATGTTGGATATAATAAGCATCTTCATTAAATGTAACGTTGAATATAATAAGCATCTTAATTAAATGTAATGTTGAATATAACAAGCATCTTAATTAAATGTAATGTTGGATATAATAATCATCTTCATTAAATGTAACATTGAATATAATAAGCATCTTAATTAAATGTAATGTTGAATATAATAAGCATCTTAATTAAACGTAATGTTGGATATAATAAGCATCTTAATTAAACGTAATGTTGGATATAATAAGCATCAGCCAAATAAATGGATAAAAAATTATAATAAGAAATGCAAAACAGTGTAACAATAACACTTCAGTTACAAAAACTTACCTTCTTATACCTTGTCCACTAGACATCAGTTCATTTTACTGAAGCAATGCAACCAATAAACATACTCCCTTTTATGCTTCATCATAATGGTCTGCTCCAATGTTTGGAATGAGCAGCTAGATATAGCATTAGGTTGGTGTATGTGTTTTGTTTTATTACATGCAACAACTTTTGTTTATTTATGGGGTATCATTCAAATCAACAGATCAAAGTTTCTACATGAATGACATTTAATGCATTATTATTATTATTCAAACATTGTCAAATGGTTTCTGTTAACAAGATAAAAAACAAAATCTGACACTGCTTGAATGTCACCTGAAGAACTTTCAAATGTTTAGAACTATCTTCCAATTCCTGATATACAAACAAACCTTTGGCACTACTTACCAGTGCCCCCCCTCAACTGCAGTTAAATATAGCCTCAAGTTAAAATAACTCATTATTTTAAAGCATAACCAATAAATGAAGGCAACCAGATTGACAGAGGTCTAGGCATTTTATAATCATGAGGAGGACAGCCTGCTGAATCATCACAAGCTGCTTATACAGTAGGAGGAAGAAGTGTGACACATAAAGCTATTGTGAGGGCCAGAGAGAAAGAGATCATCCACCAAACCACAATGTCACATCATAAGCCAATGGTTGTGTTGAGGCATCAGCTGTTAGAGCTTCTATAAGTAGAGCTACTTAGCTTTATCTAACTGGTACACCTATATTATGATGATTTATGACTAGCTGCCTTCCCTCTAGTCTTTCACTGCTAAATTAGGGACAGTTAGCGCAGATTTGCACAAAATTCCAAACAAACCATATCAATCAATTGTATTCTGATTTATAAACCTTTTAATAAAATTAGTCAAATATTAAATAAAACTAAAGATGTAATTAAATTAATGGAGAAAATGAGTATTTATAAAATTGAATATGAATGCAGTTGTGTATAAACTAGACAAGCTAAAAAAAATTTAGAATAAACATACATAAGTGAAACGTTAAAAATAATAGCTAGCTGCACAAGCTGAATCTGTAAGTACTGTATGGTCTTATTATTCAGTGGGAAAAAACTGTTATTTTAGCTCAATTGAATCATATGGTGGCTAGAAATATTGGATAATTTATAGCAATAATACACTAAAAATAATTACCATATCTTAAATAAAGATGAAGGGTTAGAAAGTCAGAAACAATGCAAATGGTGTGATATTCCTTAAGTTCAGTATGTAAATTAAGTAGTAATATTCTCAAAACAAAACCCAAAACTCGAGCAATTTTGAATAGTTGACTATAAAGACTTCAGGATAAATCAATTATTTGAAAGCACTCAAATTTTGGGTCTCATTTTGAAAATCTTACAACTTTTGTAGGTGATCCTGTGTGCTAACTACTGAACCTAGATTTAAATTAAGTAGTAGTATCGGGTAACATGACTAACAGCTTTGGTATATATGATTTTGTACTGTTTTTTTATTTTACACTTCTGAGGATGATGTGATTGTATTTCAAAACATTTAAAGTGTCAGTTTTGAGATTAGTGACAGTCTCAGAATAAAGTTTTTAATTGTGTTTAAAAACGTCAACTGTTTGAGTGTTTTAACTGATTGAGTATGTTTTCTTCAGTTTTATTTTAAATGGTCATTTTCATTCATATTCCACACTGTGGTAAAGAGGTATTGTGTGTTTTTTATGAGAGTTATTTTAGACAGAATCAAGTTCTAGTTTACATAGCTTAAATAGTGAAGAGTTTGTTTCATGTATTGATTTTGAGGGACAGGTTATTATAATTTTTTGGGGGTATGAAAGGTTTGTTTTAATGTAGTTTGTAGAGGACTTATTATGTATTTAATTAATGTGCTTTCTTTGTTAAAGGGTTTATTTTCATTTGTTTTGTTCTTGTATTTCACGTATATCAGTGTTCAAGGTTTTTTATGCTTTATATTTAGCTATCACCTCCTAATAGAATCTTACTGTTGAAGGGATAAGAGCCTTTCCTTTATTATGTTTTAATTTAGTTCTGTCTTACTGCACTGTAAAGTTGTTTTTGGCTGAGTACTTCTGCATGTGGTTGGACAAGTATTTTTACTGGGGCAAAGATGTGTTATTTTGATTTTTGGATTGATACTTGTGTAAAATTTTTGTTGGGTTTCAGGTTTTAAGTTAGTCAGTCTGAATTTAAAAAGGGAGAGAAATGTGATACATGACAGTGCCATGTGTTTGCTACCCCCCTTGTTTATATATCTCTGTTTTTTGTTACTGCTGAAAGTCAATAAAGTAAGAACTTAAGTTCTCTTTACTCTACTAGTATAAAAAGCTGGGATAATTCTTATTGACGCTTTCTTGCGGAACCGCAACATGGCCCAAGAGGTCCCAACAACAAACAAACAACATTTGAAGTGCAAGAGCCAAAGATGACAGACAAGCCAATGTAGAAGTAAGGATGAAGAGGATGTCAGCAGAAAAACCCTCAGGGTTCCTGTGAAGTACCTATTTTGCCCCCCAAACACGTAGAACTGACCCAAACAACTGTTGGTCGAGAAAAGGAAAATCTGCTGAATGATAAGCAAGGGCAGACTGATCAAAAAACCATGGGAGACAAGGCATACTAACACCCTTCCCCAGTTGAGAGGCAAATCGGTCCGCGTGAACCCTAATATCAGGGGAAAGTTTAAATAGGGTTGGGAAGTTTCATGTAAGAGGGAAGGTAAGAGGCCATAGGTGTAAGAGACAAAACATCACATAGCTGAGATATAAAGTCTGAAAAGACTAATGACAGACGAGCTGAATCATCGGGGTGGGGATACAAATGATCAAAATCGTCTACAGCCTGGACCAGCCCGAAAGGCTCAGGATGAAGTGGGGCAGAAGTAGGCTAGAGAGGTAGGCTCATATACTGCTCAATCTCCCGGCATGTGATAGTAGTGCTCTCCTATTGGTGGAGAGGTGACACATGATGATTTGTATGAGAAGTGTGTTGGAACTTTGGATTCAATTGGAGGGAGGATGAAGGCTTGTGGCATGCATTTCTGAAAAAAGTTTGCATATAGAGGGCAGAACAAAATGAGAAAAGCTAATCTTCTGAGCACAAGGAGAGTACCTTATCAGTAAACTCCTTGTCATAGACAATTGGTATAGAAGTATTGGACTGGCAAGATATCTGCAAATGCAAAACACTGAATATTGTGGAACCCTTGGAAAGACCTGAATTGCCTGGAATAGTAAAATCAGCAACAGTTAAAAAAGTAAGAAATCAAAGGAGCAGTAACCATGATGAGATTCAAGTTATGAAGTTCCAGAACAAAAAAGAAGTCATGATGATCTCAACCTCCCATGGACCTGAATACATAGAAACTGTTAAAAAGACTCATACTGATGGGCCAGTTGCAAAGTCCTGTGTGATAGCAGACTACAAGAGAGTAAAAGGAAGCATCAACTTATCGGATCAAATAATCTCATACTATAGTTCAGCCAGAAAGAGTGTGAAATGGTACAGAAATAATGTTATTGAGCTTTTTAGCATAGCAGTGCTAAACAGCTGGAATGTTTTCAATAGATTTTAAAGTGGAACAAACAAGCTTTCACTGGAGACATTTACAAAATCTGTTGGAATGATGTGGATAGGGAACATTGGAAGCATTGAAAAACCAGTATCAAATAAAACACTGCATGAACTGATGGCAATTCCTAGATTGTTTGTTTGTTTGTTTTGAATTTCGCGCAAAACTACACGAGGGCTATCTGTGCTAGCCATCCCTAATTTAGCAGTGTAAGACTAGAGGGAAGGCAGCTAGTCATCACCACCCACCGCCAACTCTTGGGCTACTCTTTCACCAATGAATAGTGGGATTGACTATCACATTATAATGCCCCCACGGCTGAAAGGGCGATCACGTTTGGTGGGACGGGGATTTGAACTCACGATGCACAGATTGCGAGTTAAGTACCCTAATCACCTGGCCATGCCATGCCTCAATTCCAAGAAAAGAAGGAGGAAAACTACACAAAAAGTTATGCTAAGGTTATTATGAACAATTAGCACAAACTGGAAAAACTGCAGAAAAAAAAGCAAAACAAGTATCAACACAGTGCTTGCAATACTGAAAGGCATTCTGCTTAAACTGCATGAAACCAAAACATAATTCTAATGTTACTTTAACATTAGATACTCCATAAAGCTTGTTGTTGTTATTTTTCAAAAACATTATTCTTTTGTTGGAACATTAAACCAAAATAACCAGTTCCTATTGCTATGTTCACAAGCATCAGCTACATATGAAGCAAATGGAGTTGTGTATCACATATGATACTCTGGCCTATAGCGTTATGTCCTGTGCCCCTTTGTACAAAAACAAGAAAAGCTGAAAATTAAAATGATCATTACATGCGATTTCACACTAAGCTAATGAGAAAGAACAAAAAAAATTCTCTCTCTCCAGTTCCACCCACACATAGCAAACATTTGCCCATGTTTTGTTTCTGTTCTTTGTCTGTGTTCAGTTGAATAAAGATTTTGATTGTGTATTTTGGTACCATATCTTTCTGTGTAACTACCCCAGTCAGAGTCATAAAAGAACAAATCCATACTCTGTAGTGAAGTATTCACTGGATGTCCTGTTTTGTTGTCTCTACCCATTTACTCGAAGGGAAATTAATGTAACTGAGAATACCAAAGCTCCTATACAAATACACTTGTAGTTATTATATGGTCAAATATACTAAAACTGGACTTTATCTAATAAATCTTCATCACTCAGAAATTCAATCGCATGAAAAAACCAAGGGCCATAACATATCAATTACGTATAATTTTACCATCATTACAACCAGATCTACAAATCTTGAACTTTTCAATAAAGAAAAACCTTCTGATAGTAAAATACTACTCTAAATAGCCAACAGTAATCCTTCCTACTAAATCTGTTTTAATTAGTAAAATGACAATCAACTATCAATGTGTATTCCACTTGGCTAATGTATTACTATTTTATTTCTCAGTTCAAACTTTTTATGTAAATGTGTTCACTAATATTAATATTTTGAATGTATTTTTTTAATTTACTTCAGTTTATATATGTTAATCCTGTTGCTCATTCCTTCTCAATTAATGTTTTCTAAGATTCATGTTTTTAAAATTTTACTTAATATGTACTTGTATATTCCAATATTTCCTGGATTCTGAAACATCAGATGAATCATATAAATAAAACATTTTTCACCTTTACAGCTGCATCTATCTTCATTAGTAGACTTCGTTTTCTACCTTCATGATTCTATGGCTAAGACTATATTAAATGTCCTAAGGCACCAGCTTATACAAAAAAATCAGAATAGAAAACCATGATCGATATCATAGTGAAACATCCAAAATTCCCATGCCTATGGGCCCAAGCCCCAAATCTTTGAAGCACCTAGCAACAACTCTGGGACAAGGGAGTTGAAAAGTTTTCCTACCTGCATCCAGCAAGTAGCACTTGTCTGTACATTTCTACCGAGGATCGGCCACCAAACTGTCTCCCAGTGAGATATGTGTTGTGGGAGGAGTTGATGTAATAGTGAGACAAAGGCTGATCCATGTCCATGTAAATCTCCAGCCTGTCTAAAAACACTGGTGCATTCTCATTGGACATTAAGTACCTGATCAATCCATCTTGGGTCAAGTAACCTATGAAAAGAAATCAACAAAGTATATGTATTACACATTTAAGTCAAGTCACTTTAACGTCAGTTTTGTAGAACATATAACAAAAACATATTGCTGCATTATACAGTATACAAAAATATTCAGAATATTCAATTATATCAAACCCAACACACAACTCGCAGTTAAAAGGTCCAGTAATATAATGTTGTTTGGTCGTTACGTTAATAATGATATAGCCTAATATGATCTTGGATAGATTATACTACAAATATATTGCTGTTTAATAATAAGCTGTTCCATTTTTTGATAAGTGTGCTTTATTATTAAATATCCAAGTATTTCTCTTTTATGTCTTACAATCCACCAAAACATTACATTATAATCAACATTTCAGTTCTTAAAATGCTGTGGAAAATTTAATATAGATAACTTCCATCTTCTCCTTTAGGCAAATATACCAAACTTATAGCTTTATAACAGAGAATATCAACTGTGAAATACTGCAGCTTAGACTATTATTTAGATATGAGAAAACTTTAATAAAACATGACTCTTTAAAGTGATTGATAAAAAAATCTCACAAACAATACCAAAACCTTTGCTAGAAATGTTCCTAAAACTCTGATGTTAGGAAAATACTAGGTTTAAGAAATCAATTTAACACAAAAATATTATACTGTACAACCTGAACACAAAAGCATCAAAATGATCAGGTTATAGCATATTGTATTATTGCATTAAATTAATTATATTATGAATATTTTAATTTAAACCTAAAGTAAGAGCATTCATTCTCTCATTATTGTATGTTGCCATAGCTTCATTGTGAAATGTGCTATTAACACTGAATAATTCACATCTTTTGGTGTATAAATCACTTAGAAATTTAAACTGAAGAAAAAAAAAATAAACACCTGATCTAAAAGTTGACAACTCTATATTGTTTTTTAATAAGTGAATTACAAAGCTAACAAGTTATAAATGAAATGTAAGTACCTTCCTGAGCTTTCTCTGAATCTGGTTCGTAAGTGGAAATAATTTCCTTGACTCTCTTTTCACTGTAGAAAGGATAGAGGATTTCATTCAGTCTGGGGTCTCTTTGTTTCTATTGGTCATGTGTTCAAAAGAGAGAAACAAAACTCTGATTAAAACAGTTCTCAGATGAAACACACAAAATATCAGTTTATTTTTCACTTTTTTATGTACAATAAAAAATATCTCATGTTTAGGAAAAAAGTTTACAGTATATTTTACAATCCTCAATATCTATAATCTATCAAATCAGTAATAGAAAAAATAATTCTCTATGGCAGTTTGAAAAGTTATTGTAATGTTTTCTGTGAAAATGACCATATATTATTTATGCAATTATGTGTTACAAATATAATTAAAATGTACTAATGGTAGGTCTACTAGAAGGGTCTAACCTCAGACATTTGAGAACGAACTGAAAAAACTGAGGTTATAAAAGCAAGTAAACAGTTTTAGAGTAAGACAGGAGATTTTATTAGAAAACACAATAGTATTACACAGAGGATTTTGAATTTAGTAGTACAAATACTGTCAGCCTGTTATCAAATGATACAAGTGTTAAAGACTATAGAGTTGGCCTAACTTGGAACTGTAACTGTGTTCTAACTCGGAGCTTCAATCAACATGAACTTAACACTGTCAAAGTCTCTATCATTTGTCAAGCTCATAAATGCATAAACAAATAAAACTTGAAACACACAATAAGAAAGAAATGGATGATCATTTACATCACATAATAACACAGTACCATCTCAAAGTGTCTCACAGAAATAAAAATTAACATCAACTAAATACCTCATTTAAAAAGTTCATCAAAGTTTTCCAGTCTACGTGATCAGTTTTCCCTTGGGTTCTTGTATCAGGAAAAAACAACAACTTTACTTAATGCATTAATAATTCTTGTTTTATAGTTAACACAAAAAGAAATGCAGATCTCTAGATATTTGTAGAATCATCAATATGTTTTAAATTCTCTAATTTTTCAAAATATCAAGTTTTCAATATACAATAGTTTCCAATCAGTGATTTAAGCAAAAATAGAAGTTTTCAAAACCATAAAAATGAAAGTAATATGATTATAACAGAAAAACAAAATGAGTACTGGATATGGATAAATTTTGTTATAAAATTACTTTATAATTTAGAAATAATGGATCTTAAATGCATGATTTTATTTTTATAAAATATTTTGTTATTCTAGCCAAAGCTCAAATGCATAAGGATGTAGTTTTACTGACAATTGGTATATCTCATGTCAAATATTTCTTTATCTACAGGCATTCATAATGTTTAACTTTAAACATATCTGCTGTCTCCTCACTATAACTTACTTCCTTTAAATGCAGAGCTGAGAGGTCAAAATTTATTGTAATAAAAATACAGGAAATTTACATTCAGACACATATATCACTGGTATTAGCTAAGACAATAATGCATGAAATATCAGAGATCTAGTTTCAGCTGTCCCTTAAAACTTCCTTTGAAATATAAGATAGGTTCAAAAATTTTCTGTTACAATTTCTTGCAAAGACACATCTAGGTTTATTTACAACTTGTTTTATGCACACTTGTAGTTCTATATTATAGGGCTCTGGTTAATAGCATTATTGTAGAATAAGTATATTGACAACCTCTATAAAAATCTAAAATTAATTTAATTTTACAGTTCACTGATAATTATACCATGAATTCCATGTAAACATTTTATAATTCTGTATAACCCCTGGTTGTTAAAACAGTAGCAAATTAGGTATTTGGAAATAAGCTGGCAAGTTAGATACAAACAGAAATATATGCTTAAAGTCAAATTAATATACTTACAAAGTATTGAACAGTTCTTCTATATCATTTCGAGGACAGATTTTATGATAGATTTGATAAAACTTGTCAAATGTGAACTCCTCCTGTTCAATAACATCATTCTACAATAATAACAGATATCAATTATGCAAAAACATACATTAAATTTTACAATAGAGTACTTTAACACCCAAACATTTTATTAACAAAATTAATAGTGTTTTAATATTTGTTGCAATTTTATGCAAAACAAGTTATATAATACTCACTATTACTTAATTTAACACTATCTTTACTTTCTTAGCTGAAAGCTGAAACAAACTGTTTTCTTCTTAAGGACAACAGACAAGACTTTTGGTAACATATCATGTTAAAGTATCATATGAAATTGTTTTCTGCATCTTTCTAAGAAAATTATTCATTTTTAAAAACTGATTGAAAACCCACAGAATATAATGTACCCCGAAGATGAATCACTTCTTCTTCAAATGTTAATCATTCTGAATATAATGATCATGATTACACACTGTTACCAAACACCATAATTTCTATTGTAACATATTTCTGCAGAAGTTTGTGATGTCATCCTAATAAAATGTTCACAGACCTTCCAACCTACAGAATGAACAAATAAGCAGAAAGGCCAACTGAAAATTACCCATCATTACCAGTAATGGAAATATGCATGTGGACAGCAGTTTCCAGGAACCACATTTAATAAGATGAAGGCCATAAGAGTCCAATTGAACTACACTAAGGGACTTGACAGGTATGTGGTTGAATGAGATTGCTGTGATTCAATTTCTTTGGCCAACATTCTTAAGAAAACAGTCACTGATTTTAAACTGCAGCTAGAATATTATGAATTTTTGGCTTATGAGTCTTTGTCAATTTATCACTTATTATCTTCTTTATTGTTTACAGCTTCATCACAATGGGTTTTTAAAGACAGAAAGTTCTGTTTTCTAACTACAGACTTATTTCTCAGAGGATGGAATTACCACGGATTAGCTTGGAATGTAGATTTGGGCTGTTGCTGTGTGGGTTTTCCACTTCTATGGAGAACAATAAAAGTTCCCATCTTCAAAATCTTGTGTCATTTGGTTCTACATCATTTAAAAACCTCATTATATGAATATCCTTCCCAACAAAGAGCAGAAAAATATATTTCTCTCGTCACGATTCTATCCATGACAGAATCGCACTGTTGATTGGTTCAGAATTCAATTCATACAGGTACTAAACACATTACATGAAACACACAGCTTCATCTGTGGTGATATGTCACTACATTAGTATATGCAAATGATTCTTTTAAAATATAATCAACCCTTCATATAACTTTACAGTAAATCCCTATTATTCACAGTGTATTGCACTACAATAAAACAATTCATAACAAATATTTCTTAGTGATATCTTGTGTCTTTTAAAATCAAGTTGTAAAAAAAATATTTTGAAAACACTGATCAATACTAGACAAAATACATATTTTAACTCTGAAAATGAAAGTTTCAAATAAAGTGTCATTCTAAAATAAACATGAAATTAAAAACCTTTTATTGAAATGCTTTGTACAGGAGTAAAATGTTATTTCCTGTTGAAAAAAAAAAGGGTGTATATTTTAAATATATTCTAACTGTAAATTGATATGAAAAATCACCATAATGTTATTAATTCCTGAAGTAAAACATATCACAAAACTAATGTTCATGAATACAAAAGCTTTAGTTGTACCTTTCCACATGGGAGTCCCACTTCTCCAATGCACTGATAAACTAGCTTTTCTGTCTTTCCAGAAGCAAATGTTTGGGCAATTCTGGAATACGAACAAGAACCATCAGAGAAAACTACAAACAGAAATCCCATAACTGAGCAAATTATGAGTTAAAACAGCCATTCCTTGTATCACATGAACATTTCTGTGGCAACCATTGGTTCTTTCAGCAAGAAGTTCTAAAAAGTTCTCTGTTCATAGTTTTACCTCAGTATACAAGTAATATAGCATAATGTTAAATACATTACAATAATAACAGCATTATCAAATTCTCACTTCAAAACGTAAAACATAAGATGCATTTTGAGTTTAATTTCTTACACACTGAAAACATTTAAAAAGAAACCAAAGTGTTTACTTGTAATCCAGAACAGACAAGTTAGGTTAAAAATATTTTTACACTTAAGGTTTTTATTCATAAAAATAAGTCAGATAATATTTATAAGATAAGTTCTAAATTCAATCTTCTAGAAGTTCACCAAAAACTACAATACAAAATATATAAAATCACAATTAAACTTTTTTTCATGTTTTCTGCACAATTATACAAGAAAGTTAATATAATTGAGCTGATAGTACTGAGTCCCAGATATTAGAGAAATAAAAATATCATCAATTTTTCAAGTATACAAAATAAGTTATCAAAAGTTTTATAGAATTTTATCATGTATACAAATCCATGAAACAAAAAAGTAATGTATTTTTATAACTTCCACTCTTATGTTCTTTAACTTAATGTTAAGATCTGCATATAAATTTTCACATTCCTTATCAATTTAAACGAAAAGCAGATTACTATGATTGAAGTAAAGTTTGGTCATATACCTTCTAACTGGAATTTTTCCATCTGGGTCTACAAGAAATCCAAGTTTCATCCAGCTGAAAAACATACATAAAAAAAATGCTAACTAACAACAAACTGTATTTTATCTTCCCCAAACTCTTGACTGTAAAATTCATTATTTCGAAGCATATATTATGAGTTCAGACTTAAGACACATCTAAAATTCACAATATTTTCCAATGTAGTTGGAAGTAGCAACTTTTCTTTCTTAATTATTTATACACAAAACTTTTGTTTAATAAACCAACCAATAAAAAAGTATATACAACAGCAGCTTATTTACAATTTCATACTTTCTTGTAGATAGAAGTAGTACAATTTAATTTTGCTCATTTTTAGTAAATTTGTGTGTTTCATGTTTTCAAGTGAGAAAAGATGGAGAAGTACAGTACAAATAACAAGGTAAGACCTTTAACATGTATTACAAGAGCTTCAAAAAGAAAGCCCATTACAGACTGAGAGTTCTCTTTTACTCATAGACTTTCACTGGATCTGTCAGGCTTTACCAAGGGCAGAGCTGGGTATGTAATTTGCCACTCAAAAAATTAGTCAAATTGCACATCTACTTAATTTATTATCTACTAATTCAGAGTTTTGTTTCATTTCCAGTTTACATCATTATATGTCTTCATTATAACTCACACTGTTAGGAAAGCTAGCACTAAATGTAATACTTATTATCACTTCTACACCTTGAAAAAACAAATTAATGCAGTTATTGCACTTCTTTTCTTGTCTTAAATAATGATAAGCATCTGTGTATGTAGATTATTAATAAATAAACTTAAATATGCTTGTTGTGATACTTCTTAATTAGCAATGTAATGGCAAAAATAGAAATTGGAAAAACAAAGTGTAAAACAGAATGACATTAGGGAGACAAAAAGTCACATAAATTGGTTCAGCAAATAAAGAAACACATCCAGATATAGATTATAATGAAAGAAATGATGACTGTGAGAACCTATACAAGTAACACTTCAAAGTTTCAAAAATAATGTATGTTTTAGGCTAATTCCCACTTGTGCTTTATTTGTCAAAAGGAGACAAATAAAAAAATGTCCTACTAACCAAAAGGTCTCAATCAATCATAGAAAAAATTTCATGAAACCATCATAAATAAACTGCTCTCATTCAGAATTACCAAATTACAATGAACTTGCCACTCTAAATATTGTGATCTCTAATTGAAATCTATTCTGTAATAATTAACACATATATAATTATTTAGAAAATTTTATGCTTTTAAAATTGGATAAAATGTTCAGAATCCAATATTTAGCTTACACTAGGTGTAGTCCATTAGGGTCACAAGGGAGCACTGACTCCTCACTTTATGTGATGGGATTCTAATCATGTCTATAACATGAAAAGCTTTACGTAAAACAAAGTTTTTATCATTACATGAAAGCACTACTAACCTTGTATATACTGCAGCTTTAGAATAGCATACCCAAGCAATATTGTCTGAATTTCTATTTAATTAATAAACACGGTAGCCATTTTAAATAACTAGGCTGATGATTAACTGTTCTGTTGGGGAGAGAAAAAAAGCCTAGTGACCTCTCACCACTAACTAATTTACACTACATTTAGCTGTATTCATAACAACAAGGCATCAGATACTATCAGTTGCAACACAGTTAACCTACTCCTTGCCTAACTATAGATAAATGCAGGCACTTTTAACTTGGGGTCTATTTATAACACTTAAAAACTTACTGCTAAATATAAACATAAACATGTGTGCTCAGACAACCCTAAACCCTGCTGGACTTAGCTATACACCAAAAACAAGTCAAGCACTTGCAGATCAGAGTTTAATGTAAAATTGAGTTGTGTGAGCTCCAATTCTGTTGCAACAAAAACAAAGCTTAAATAATTATATTTCCAACTTAAGAAAGAGAATAACATATTTCAGGAACAAGGAGAAAATAGAGGTAAACTAACTAACATAGGACCAATTTTCACACTAAAAACATAGAATCATAATAGTGCTAAAATATCTAGAGTGATATAATGTAAATATACAACACATATTTAACTCAGTTTTCGCTTTTTACTTCAGAAAAGGAATATGAAAGAGACCACAATGTCTATTAAATTTCTTGATATAAATAGTTTATACGAAATAATCCACTTACTGTTTTTTCAACGAAGTTACTGGGCAAACGTTACTAGCTTTAATGTTATTTGTGATTGCTCGTAAACCTTGTTGCCATGACTGCAAAAAAGAAAATTTCACACATGTTACAAATCAACAACACACTTCACATTTATTTCTTATATAGACACAGATTTAATTTACACTCTAGTTATAACTAAAGTGTATATATTCAGGAGTTATAAAAAACAAAATATACAAGCAAAGATCTTTATTTCTAGATTTCTGGTAAATTTTGGAAGTTGAGAACATAATGCAAATTAATGAAAATAATTAAATGTAATTCAACAAAATTTTAACTTTATTTTGAAAAGATTTAAATTAGCTAGGTAAAGATTTGCAAACTTAATCATTGATAGGAAGTTACTCTGGGCTAACTCAATGTAGATTTGTGTCTTAGAATGCTGATTTCTTAGTTGAGAAATCAATTTTTTAATTTTGATTTCTGAAAATCTCTTTATATCTTTGCATAATTATTTGAAAGGTACATTACCTACAATTAGGGTTACCAGATTTCCTAAGTGAAAAACTAGAACATTTTATTTCCATAAAAGCAACACTGTAACAGCTCTAAAACAGTTTAAATTACAGTAATGTACTTTAACTATTTGCTAAATGGTCTGATGTGGCATTGTGTAATATGTATATATATATATATATATATATATATATACACATAAATATATAGTTAAAAAATAAATAAAATGAAAAAAGCACTTAAGTTGTTTTAAACCATGTCAAAAGAAAAATATTGCTTCTTCGTTTCTAAGCAGGTCTTCAAATCTCAATTCCCGCAGCTACCCAATAACAGGTTAAGAAAATGTGGCAGAAAGAGAGGAAATACTGCATCATGTCATATGTATTTGTCAGGTGATTCTCCACATAAAATTTAAAGGAGCAATGTATGATGATAAACTGTGCATATCAAACTATAGTTGAGGTACAAAGAAACTAAGACAATTTAAACTTTTACAGTTTTTGATCAGAACAGGAAAAAAAAAGAATAAAAACTGGATGATTCCAGTTTTACTAGGATGTGTGGTAACCCACCTACAGTTTGTCTAGCTGTAAATGTAAGCAATGTCAATATGTCAAATTTGGTGAAGAAACCATGAAATCTTCTGTCAATCGGGTAAACTTTTTTTAACGTCTTTTTTTTCAATATTCCAAGGAATATTGTAGACTATGCCCACAAACATTTCAAATGCTTTATAACTTGATAATGTTTCACTTAAAGATTTTTTTTTTCTTATGGATGTCCAAATAAAAACAACAACTCTCAATACATATGTTTTTTTGTATGCCAGAAAACGAACAGAAACCTCTTGGACATTAAATAATAAACAAGAGATCGTGAACTGAAGCCCATATTTGGTCTCCAGTTCATATTTCTTTACTTACATCTAAATAAAAGGTAAATTAGTACAGTAGTGTCACTGCTCATAAATATTCTTATAGATTTTGTTTTTGTTTTATTTTGTTTAATTTCTTGCAAAGCTACTCAAGGGCTATCTGCACCAGCTGCCCCTAATTTTGAAGTGATAGACGAGAAAGAAGGCAGCTAGTCAACACTACCCACTGCCAACTCTTGGGCTAGTATTTACTAATGAATATTGAGGTTGACTGTCATATTATAACACCCCCACAGTTGAACATATTTGATGATGGGACATTCTTATAGGAGAGACAGCTATTCACCAATTACAGTAACTATAGTGTGAACAAGATCTTACATTCAGTAGCTGACAAAATCACAAGGATCATTTTACTAGAAATGTAGTTAGTCACGCGATAGTACATGTTCTTTTATGCATTATCTATTATAAATTAAATTTGGACTTCATCAGATTCATTCTCCTTCCTCCTTCCACATTTATTACCACATAGTTGTGAATGACAGATCCATTTTTGAGTAAAATACTAACTCAACTTTCATGTTATTTCCTTGTAAGTTATAGCAAGGAGAAAAGCTAGAGTGAATTTTATGAGGCTAAATTCTTGTAAGCATAAATACTTGTTCAACCATATCGTCTATGTGTACTAAAAGTCCAGCCCCATAACCCCAGAAATTATAACAGTTGGTGTGCTATGTAAAGTTCCCCTACATCTCAAAACAAACTTGTAGATATTCATTGGACAACATTGTTGTCACCATCAATATTTGCACAAAGGTTTCCTGATACAGTACTTGAGAGATAAGCTGATTACTACCATACATCTTGTTTGTACTTATGGGGGCTGGACTGTTCAAACATACACTATATTATTCGTGGAATAATAATTTACTACTACTTTTTCAAGTATGACCTACAAAAAATTTTATGGTCATCATTTCTTCTTAAGAGATCTCTCATTAACTTCAACATCTATCAAGATATGATAAAGAAAAGGTTTCCACTTTTATCTAAATTATAAGCGATACACATTTAATAAATTGTAGCACATTAGTAAAGTAGTGCCACTGCTCATCACTAAGTAATGTTCTGTTTATCATATCTGATATAACCATAAAACTATAACCACTGTATCAAACTTCTATTTATATGATTGTGACTTTTATTTAGAATGCTGTGATAAAAGGTATTTGACCAAGTTGGATCATTTCTACATGTTGTAAAAATATTAAGTCGTTTTTAAGATGGCCCAGTACAATGAGTATAACCAAATACTTTTCATAAAAAACTAAATCGTATGCTCTAAAAAGGTTAAAAAAGCTAAACCAATTATTCATTAAATTTTCAGTTAGTGAGCAAATAAAACAATCCTAAAATAATCTCAGTACAAATAAAGAAAGTTAAAATGGGAAAAAGATTAAATATCAACAAGTTGTGTGTAATATCACGATAATTATATAAACTATAAACATATCTTGAAACTACTAAGCATGGCTAGCCATGATATTTTTCAAAAAAATACATAGCATGTTTATGATTTGGTTTGGTTGTTGTTAAGCGCAAAGGTACACAATGGGCTACTTGTGCTCTGCCTATCACAGGTATCGAAACCCAATTTTTAGTGTTGTAATCTGCAGACTTATTGTTGAGCCACTGGGGTTAGATGATGATGATCTATAGCTTCAAAAACTCAGTTATAAACCTTCAGTAATGCACTAAAGAACTTTAATGTAGTTTCTTTAGTGCTACTAAAATATAACATATTATAATAAATTTAGGAATGACATAATCAAAATAAAGAGCCTGTAATACATTTATTACATGTTAATTGCTTGAATTGAATGCATAGTGAATTTCTAAAACTATACCACAGGAAACAAATTATAAATGAGTGTCATAATGCAGCATCATAAAAAATGGCAAAATAAGTCTCCTTTTTAAATGTATATAAAAAGTTGTTTTTGTACACATAATTCAACGGCACCATGAGAAGTATCACAAAAAATCAGCAAAAATGTTCAAAGACAAATTTCTAACAAATTTGCTCGTTGTGAAGTATAGATACAAGTCAAAATGCTAGAAATAAGACCTTGCTGTATAATTGCTGGACTATAACTATGTGTGAATATAACTATTAAGTTACTTAGCTATGTTTTAAATATCATAAATATGCTCAATCACGTTAATCACACAACTATAGTTTCCACAATTTTCAACCTAGTTATTAGATATAAAACCATGACTATTGTCTAATACATCACACACGTGAGAACAACTTAGCTTTATACAAAGATGTTTAACACTTTTGATTACCTGAGCAGTTTCTGCATCTGGACACACAACGTGTGTGTAATTGATATTGACCATGTCTGTGCCACTACATATTGTCAAAGAGGTACTTTCCAAATTATCCTTTCTACGACTTTGTAACTCAGAATAAAGTCTTGGGTCCTGTAGTATTCAAAATTGTGTGAAGGATTGCAAATTTGTAATTTATCATAACTACAAAGAATAAAATTTTCTCTCTTATTAGACAAACATGACAGAGTAATGTACTAAGTTAGGACAGTAAATGAAAATAATAAAATAATACAAGAAAAAGAATGTCTAATTTCATTCACAAATTCATTTTTTATGCCCTTTACTCAATATAGTGAATGCTAGTTTTGTGTAACAGCCTGAATAATTTTAACATTAGTTAAATAATTTAAAATATGGAAATACGACTAATTAAAAAAAAATTAAATGCAATCTTCACTGATGATTATAGTATTGTTTAGAAATCAGAGGTAGTTTATCATAAGTTCAATTTTCTTCATAATCAACAAATAATTATTTCTATATCCTAGTTTTAAATACTGTTTTTTTTTTCCAAGTACAAAATATTCCACAGATTTGTTAAATTAAATCTAAAAATATTTCACTAATCTTGTTTCTTTGACTAGTTACATAAATAAAAGTATTATGGTCAATTTTTTTAAAAAAATCTGCTGGATTTTAATAAAAAATTACACACACATTCCTCAGTATAATAATTAAGGAAGATATGTTTACTCCTCAAATTTAAAATCAAATCTTTATTAGTTAGGAAATACTTTTCAGTATATATTAAAATGTGTATAGATTGTGTACTATTTGCAAATTCTGATATCTTCAAACATAAAAAAAAATACAACAAAGAGAAAGAAAAATCATACCTTAGGAATCCCTCCAGCTCGAATATCATTAACCTGAGATAATTCCAGAACCTGACCATCCTAAAAAAAAAGAAAAAAGAGAGAGAGAAAAAATAAACCATAATTTATATATATATTAACATAGTAGAAACTATACTTAATTTTTACATGTAACATAACATAATGTTTTAGGGCAACATGGGACCTATTGGTCCATCTTGGCTGTTCCACCCTCTAAACTAAATTAAAATGATTTTTAAAAAATCTTAAAGCCAGCCCTTATCATTCATATACTTATAAAGCTTTTTCTTAAACTCACTTAAATTTACTGCCTCTACAACATGCCTCTACTTAAAGGATATAAATCCATAGCTGTTATAATTTTCAAATTTTCATAAACAAAATTAAAATTTTTCAACAATGTAGTATATAAAAGATATATCACAACATATTTTTGTCTTTAATTTTCAGAACAGAGTTGTTATGTAAAAATTAGTGACACTTCTGATGCTAGATGTAGAAAGTTCAGAAAAATAGTCCTATAATACCTAAAAAGTTCACTACTCTGTCATATCCAAGTCACTCTGATGGGCCCTGATATTAGGTGAAAGGCCTAGTTGACACTGCATATAGCAAATGTATTGTTGTTTACATATTATAATACATTCTCCTGTGGCTTCACTCCAGGGTTCTTAAGAGTATTCTGTGAGTGGTTCAGTTCAATTTAGTGTTTGTAGTGGGAGTTATCACGTCTAATCTAATTCAGTTACTCTGTGAGTTATATGTTTGTTTATCAAGGCTAATTAGGTTAGGCGTACATCTCGCAGTTTATACTGATGTTGTATTTGAAGTAAGGCCTACAGTTAGCTGCTGAGTTAATGTTAAAAAGTGATTTGTGAAATTAGGCCTACAAGTGAACGTGGCTATAAAAAACGTTATTCAAAAAATACACTAATTCGTTATCGTCTCGTGAACTGGACTTGGCATTATTTTTTATCAAATAATTCAACAGAACCTATCCAACGATAGAATATTGTTGCGTAAGCGAAGTCACATGACTAGTGTGACGCCACGTTTCTAGAACTATCCTGTACCTTGGCGAATGCTCTAGCATTTACTAGATATAGGGTAGTATGGTATATAAAAGAGGGTGACAACGTGACGCAGTAATGTGTGTGAGTAATTGAACTGCAGTCAGAAGTATTGTTGACGTTCGTTATAGAGCGATTGTTGAAAATAAGTGTATCGTAAAGTTGTATTCGGAAAGAATAAACCAGTTTTATTAAGT